AAATATTCTTCAGAAAGCTTGTATCTTATTTTTCGAAATGTATGAAAATAAATATAATACTTCCATAATTGATCCAATTCTTATTTACATTTCTATTCTAGGCACGTATAAAGGTCGGACATAAGATTTTTTTGGTGTATTCTCATTATATTTCGTTGCAGGGAAATATTTGGCACACAGCATTCGCATAATCTACCCGCTGATAATTCTAAATCTAGACAGGACAATAAGTCGTACAAATGTTACTTGAACAATTTGTACCATCCGGATTTTACACAATTCATACGTGTCGTCTATATTAACTTGTAGTAATTGTGTGTAGTAATACCAGTCCAATGTCAGCATTGTTAATTAATTTTGCCCCAAAAGGGGGTGTTTAAAAAGTCGTGTTACGACGGTTTTATTTTCCTCTGTGTTCGGGGTCACAGCGTGCATAGCAGTTTTCTAGGAGAATCCAAATATTCTTCCAGCCTTGACATCACGAAGCTTGCGCGTGATCTATGCGTGCTCGGTTAGCAGGGATCTCGTCGCCGCGTTGGGCCACGGGATCCTCGGCGAGGAATGCTCGAGACAATGTTTATTGCCGCGTATTTGCCGTGTATGTCGGGCCCCGAGCATGCGATCACGGCGTGTTACGGCCAACGAATTACAGCCAATCCTTATCTGCCAGCTCGAGCTGAAAAAAAGGATATAATTGAGACCGAAATTTCATCTCGCTCTCTGCGCATTTGGGTTTTCTACCGAGCGCTCTTTTACTGCCGATTGCGACCAGCGCGCGCGATCTTCACTGAATTTTCGGTACGCACTATCGGTGTTATTACTTCATCGTGGCTGCATTCGTTGCACTCGGGTACGATTTCGTGAAGTGGCTCTCTGGTCTTCGCGCCTGGGCCGCACGTCACTCTCCGACGCTCGATCGTACCCACCGATACATCGAGCACTCAACGCGTTTAACGTGCATTACTTTTTCGTGTCTTGTATTGTACGATTTGTAATCATCTCCATTTTACGAGCGCCGTCGGCGAACGTCGCATCCGCGAGCGCCGCTTGTTGCGAGACACCTTACGTCCGCCGGTCTACAGCGGCTACAGCGATTTCCGTCCGTCGATCGGACGTTAAGTCAGACACTTTCCAAGATCTGCGTCCGCGTCTTACAAACAGAACAAGGCGCCTCAAGATTTTCGCTCGATCGCTCGATTGTTCGCCGCCGTGTACAGTTGTTTCGGTATACATAAAAATAAACTTATTTTGTGTGTCGTCATACTCGCTCGGCTTCTCTGCACTCCTATTCCTATAGCGATTCGGATCGCGTACTGGCGCCCTTCGCGCACAGTGCTGTGCGATACCGCGCGATCGCCGTCGGCTGAACCCGACGGGAACACTCTGGCCCTATTTTTAAGTGCAAGATTGTTACGAGGTAAAGAGCTAGTGCGAAGAATATCATCTCATTAATGATTCACTCTTAGCTTGTACGAGTATTAGTATTTTATTTTTGCTTGGAAAATAGGAAATCAAACTTTGCACATTACTATATTATGCTTGCTAACTTTAATATTTTGTTATCAGGGAAAGGACGGAAGGAGATGATAAGACAGTCTCCATCAATGTATTCAGTACTGCGTCCAAGTCCGTGATTAGTGCTTTCATTACATTCTTTATGACATCCATCTTTTCGGAAACTAACGCAAGGATGTTTGTACTCATCGGTTTTCAAATATCACGCAGTGTCACGAGATCAATCTTGAATAATCTATGAAAGACGCGGGAAGCTTTATAGAACAATCTCCTAGTCCAATAAGCAAATAGTATCAGGAAGTTAATAGAAATTTAAGGTTAGGAGTTTCTTGAACTGCTCAAATAGTATATCTAAAATATGTCTGTATTTAGAGACAAATGTTTCCAAGGCTTTTTTGTCCGAATCTGTAAACAGTTCTATAAAAAAAAAAAATATTTGAATAAGAACTTGATTACAAATATGAATCGCGACACAAATATAATTAATATTAATTTTCTATGAACTTCATTATTTACATGCTTATTTATTCTCTCGTATAACTATATCTCGTATAACTATATAAAAATATACAAGATTTGTACACACACATGTATATTATACAGCATTTACATTGATATATGTGCGTTGCATGATTAATTGAAATAATCATTGCTTTTCTTCGGAAATGTATATGATGAATTTTTACTAATTTCTTTTTTTTGTAAACACACATTGTAAAAGCGGCGAATAGTTTTCAGAAGAAATTTATTCAAACTTACCTATCTTAATTCTCTTTGAGTTAACGTCTTCCTCAGCATGGATCATGCAAATCTAATATATCAGATAAAGAAGACAAAGAGAATGACAAATTGCAACTTCATTTTGCTAGCTGTTTTCTGACCAAGGCTATCGAAATGCACTGCTACGTTTCTGCCTCGTCTCTTCCTTCGACGCGATTTTTCTGATTAATCACTTTGCAACCACGTCGTACCTCTATTTATTATTTTCTGTTGACTGGTTCTTCTACAAAAATAATTAACTCGATGCAATTTTTTGACAGCTTGACATATTAGCTGGGGTAAATTGCTACCGTGTTTGTACGTGATAAAGGAAAAGAAAGAAAAAAATATGGACAATTGCGCAATACGTCGAGTTGATATCTTACTCTCTAATTATGAGGAATTTTGTTCGCGCTCGAGCAGTGATATGATATGATGATTTATTTTGTTCCGTATATTTATATTATCAATAAATCTCACGCACTCATTTTATGGTAAATAAATAATCGCGAAAATGTCCGACTCGCGCATTTTTCAGACATGCATCGACGACGATGCTAGGTCGTAAGAAGGTAATACTAATAATGAACTAGTAATAATCTACAAACGATCTACAAACGATTTTTCACAGATAACGTATTGTTATGTATTATTGTGCATAAGACGCAGCCTTAGCTCGAAATTAGCGGCATTGTCGCAGCCGCTAATTTCGAGTGGAAACATTGTCGTTGCCCGTGTAAAAAAAAAGTATGTTTACGGCCAAACTGATTGATTAATATGCTCTTACTGTTACTATGTTATTGTTACGTATTTTGCAATATACACGCGTTTTATTTTTTTTTTTCTAATAGACACGTATAAACATTGATATATGTGAGCGAGTCTTCGCGGGAAATTTATTATTATTGAATATATATGAAGTCATAAATTCGATCTACAATAAACGGACTAGAAACCGTGTGGCGCGTCGGACATTTTATTTTGCGCTGTTGCTTTTTCGTTCCTAGTTAACACGCTCATTGCCAAACTGAAAATTTGAATTTCGTGTGGTTGCCAAAGTTATTTTTTCTTTTTTTTTTCAACAGACGATGGTTGGAGGCCATCCCCCCTCCACGAGAGTTCGATCCCTTCCCCAGTGACCTATGTAAACATCACGCGACGTTTCGCTGTGGCCGCTATTCTATCCCGCATAGAAACTCGTTAGCGATCACGCGATATCGCGTGAACGGCAATAAACGTGTTAAAAGAAACATTATCGAGGACAAATGTTGAAAGACAAGTGTGAAATGTTATAAATGCACATGAGTGTTTTGAAGTCTAATATTCTGTTGGAAAAAAAGTATTGTTGTATTTTTAGCTTAAAATTGGAGGAAATTTATTTATATTTAAAAATAACTTTAATCAGTAATGTAATAGCCGTTGTTTTCTGTATAATCCTTTGCTATTTTCCGGGCAGCTCCATAATTCTTCGCGCGCAGAACTCAGGCCGTTTCTCAGTGAAGAACTACCGAAGACTATTTTTATAGTCCTTTAAAAAAAGGAACGCCTTGTTGACCTAAGGAAATTCTGGAAGGAACAGAACAGTAATCCGAAGCAATAGTCCGAAGAAGCAATGTCTGGAAAAAATATTAGGTGAGGTTAGAACATCCCGGCCGCATTGCTATATTTTTTCCCGAGTGATCAAGAAAATACGAAGGCCTAGTGTTGTCTCGATGGAATAAAATAAATTCTATTAACTATTCTGTTAAGTTCTGGGTTTATTTTGCGATAGCTTCCTTCGGTTTATCCAAACGGCCGCAATACCTTGTCCAATGTTAAGTCGTACATTTTTCGGAAGGAGCTCATAATATATAACACCCTCCTGGACCTTCACATAGACACGGCATGACATTCTTCGAACGAAACCCAGTCTTTCTTTCCACGCGATATCCCAGATGTTTCCTTTTCCTCCATACCTCAGCCATATAATCCTTTCCTCGGAATCCGTGTCTGTTACATCCGGATCGATTGATAACTAAACCAACACCGAAGTCAACGTGACTGTCGAATCGCGAATCGTTCGTTTGTTTCTGCCAGCGACTGATATCGTTTGCAGAAAGAGGGATCGCCCACCATTTGCGCGCATAGGTCGTCCGCTTCCTCCGAAGCTATCAATAAAGTTGTCACGCGAGGATCATTACTCAACAATACTGCAGAATCATCGTCCTCGGACGTTTAGAGAGAATTGTTTGAGCAGCGGACCGACTCTATTTGCGCAAACGGCCAGGCCAGGCAAACACACGCCGACGAACGCCGAGCAAACGCATAACTTATTCGCGGAACCGATGCGCACGGAATCGATGAGCGACTGCACGATTATCCAGGATTCTTCCCGGATTCCTTCTCGAAAATTCGACTCATCTCCTCGCGTGCGACGACGATTCTTTCAATTCTTCCGACGCGCTTCCAATTTCTGCAAGCGGTTCCGCTTGGTCACTTGGTCGCCGGATAACGATCGCGCACGACTTTTGCCTCGGAGATTCACGCGCGTCTCGATCGATGATCATATCGACCGCGTCGGCGTGCGAATGAAGCTCTGTTGTGCCGCGTATCGAATAGGCAACTGCCGCGTGGATTCGACGGCAAAATGACGCGGGTCTGAAAACACGACGGTGGCGGACGGGAACCGGCTCGCGAAATCGGCCAATTACGGCCGTCAACGATCGCGGATGCGAATACGGCGAAGTATGTTTCAGCGAAAGTACGAGCTGATCGCTCTCGCGTGGGCGACGACGTTGTCGTTGTTGACGTTTGAATCCGCGCGATGCGCGAATCAGCTGATCAGGCCGTTCAACGTTTACGAGGGTCTGATCAAAGACATACGCGATTACTTCAACAACACGTGCATCATACTGCTACACGCTAATCCGAACCCCATCGAGACGCAGGGTGAGTATTGAGATTTGAGGGTGCAGGAAAAGGGCACTTCGAATCGCCGAGCGGCTCCTCACACGTGTCGCTTATCTTCACAGGACTCGTGGAAGGCGACGGCTTGCTGTACCTTCAGAGGCGCCTGAGTTTGAATTATAATATACGCGCCGTCATCATGGATTTTAATTTGTTTAACACTCGAGTGAGAGCGCCAACAACGAGTATTCTCTCGACGTATCGTCGGAGGAAACAATGCCATTCTGCTGATAAGAGAAACGATCGCTCTCTCAGTTCGTTTCCTTTCCTTTAGGTCACGCTCCGACAAGGAATGTTTTCTTCATAATAGGCGAATCGAAAAAGAGAGAAGTTTAGAGAAGCTTATTGCTCGAGAGAAAAAGTTGTTCTCTTCTCGAGAATATTATCGAGAAGTTTGTACTCCGCGTAGAGAAAAAAGCAAACTAGATTTTTGTTTTAATTTAATATCCTTGATTGAAGCTTCAAACTTGGCATTTCAGAGAACTTATCTTGTAAATTGAATGTGTATGATGAACTTTTGATAGATTTCCTCATAAAATATACGAGATAAGTGATACACTTGCTTGAATGCAGTATACAGAATGTACCAGAAATATAGGTACTCCAGACTAACTTGAAGAAATAACGTTTCCGAAAAAAAAGAAAAATATCAAATACAAAAGTTTTATACAGAAGGTTTGGTAATGATCGGCATCTCAAAAAGTATCAGGCGAATAAAAAAGTGCTTCAGACGAAAGTTGTTCGAAACAATTGGTAGAAAAAGATGACGTAATAAAAATGAGGGTTTCCATTTACGATTTTAAAGTTGATCTTGATTTGACCTCTAAATTTGACCGCTTTTGAGATCAAGTTCAAGCTCATCACCAGATGCCCATTTCCAAACTCTAAAACTTTTGTGTTTAACGTTCTTTTCAAAATCGTCATCCGTTCAGGTTAATCCGGGGTACCCATCTTTATATTTTATCTGTGTTTGTCTTATGGGAGCGATAACAGAACGAACACGTTGACACGTAAAATAAGATTGCTTGACTACGCGCGTCTTTGTTTTTCTCGAAAGTCTCCTATTAAATAAAAATATAAGCCATAAAAATCAAAGCTAATTCCGGCGGCACTTGTTTCGGCAAAAGACTTCCCCGCTGTCTCTTACCGAAATAAGAAAAGATTCGACTGTTTGCAGGTCGGGCAAAGCTACCATCACATCAAGAGGCCTCTCTTCGTCTTATTAAACGACAATGAAGATACGAGGAATGAATTTGCACATGTAATTATTTCTCAGCAACTCCAAGAACGCTGATTAACGAGACCGTTGATGAAAAGTAACTGTTTTTTTTTTTTTTTTTTTTCCAGTAGCAAGTACAATAATTTATGTACATGTTTAACAAATTTTCACATGTACCGCAACTTTCAAATGACAGCTATTGCTATGCTTAACGATTTGCACCATTTCTTTTCACACAAAGTCTGTACAAAATAATTCCTTTCTATGCTCTTTGCCAAATTCTCAACGTAGTGATGACACTCGCGAGTCTGATAAGTAATCGACAAGATAACACCTTCATTTGTGTGCTGTCCTGCATTGAGATTCCTCAAAGAGAACTTTCGTCGCGAACTTTTGTCGTATTCGTAAATACCCGAGGAACGTCTGAGGCAGACAGACGACGTGAACGTTTATTTATCGAAATGCAGCAGGTGTCAACGTGGATCGCGATGGCTTATCCCACCTGGCTAGTCTTCTTCCGTAACGAGACCGAATACGCGGACTTTTTCTCCGAGATTTACATCCCCTTTGACTGTAAGTTCATGGTGGCTCGAAGCAGCGCGAATGAAAGCGGCAGGGAGATCATCACTGAAGTTTACCAAATTGACCGAGGAAAGGAACTGAAGTCCAATCAGTTCGGCGTGTGGGACATGGGGAAGGGCCTGAAAGGGCCAACGCGCGGCCTATTTTTGCGAAGAAACAACCTTTACGGCCAAAATATACGCGTTACGTCGGTCCACGTAAGGTTAACCCATTCTATTTTTCGCCAGAATCGCCCAGTAACAGAATTAATTACTTATTAATTGGGGGAAAGATTGCTTGATCGTATCGTGCATAGCTTATACATGAAATTAGTGATAAAGTTAGCGCAACAGTTCATCTCAATGAGTGTCTCTAGAACAGAGGTGTTCCCAACCGGGGGTGCTCTTACTTAAACATTCTTGGGGGTGTGAGGAAAAATGATTGTAATTAATAATGATTAAAATGAATTCTGGAATCCGGCATTTTTACCATCAAATTGAAGAAATGTCATTAAAATTATATATTTTTTACATATCTGTACGTATATATATATATATATATATATGTATATATTCATTACGTATCACTAGGTGAAGCTTGATACCATGGATAATAATTTTATATTAAAGTGATAGTTAATTTCCCTAAAACAATATTATGTAATAATAAATTATTATAGATTAAATGCATTAGTATGAATTTTTTCTTTTATTCTGGAATACTTTACTGAACTCTTTATTGTTTGATAAAAAATTAAATATCTTTTTTAATTTTTAACTTCTTACCTTAAAACCCTAACAACTAATTTTTACCATAAAACATACGAATAATTTTTTTCGTAGAGGATGCGAAGGTTTATTAATAAATTTTTAGGGTTGCAAAATACAAAAAAGGTTGGGAAATTCTGCTCTAGAGCATTTAGAAGCGATCAGCGATGAGCTCCGTTGTTATTCTTCTCCCCGTTATTATTAATTTTCGTTTATATGTACCATCTTTCCATCTCACTTTCTCGTACTAATATCTCATTTAGAAAGGTTAATACAATTATATAATTATATTCATGAAGGGCTCTCGCGAAGGTGAGACAAGCTCAACATTTAGAATGGACAATTTTATATTCGACAGGATCCTCCTATCAGCCTATTCCATCGTAACGCGCGCAACGAGATTACGAGGATAAGCGGCTTTTTCGGCGAGGTGATTCTGCTGTTGCAGGAGGGAATGAATTGCACGTGAGTACTCCGAAACGAGAGAAAGATGCCATGTGACGAAAACGCCACCACGGTTTCATTCCGTTGCGAATTAAAAGTCTCGTCTGCGTGTTGCGTCAATGTTCGATTTTTATTACAACGATTTTTCTGGGGTTGTTAAATTTCGCACGATATGTTTGTAGAGGATGCGAAGGTTCATTAATAAATTTTTAATAAACACGGTAATCTCTCCAAGTATAATTCGTCAGACTCGACGAAGCGGCAATTCCTGCGATTCACGCAACGTATTGAGATTCCTTGCTCTTTTCTCTCCTTTGTCTCTTTTACTCTTTGTCAGAACACTTTGAAGTGCTTTCTTCCGTTTTTCGATTACCTCTGTCTTGGGCGCCGTTCTTCCTCGCTGCCTCTTCCGTTTCCTCCGCCGTTTGATTTTCCTTTCTTGCTTTGCGACGCGCTTGCTGCTCTCGGAGTTCCTTCAGTTGCCTCGCGGTCTCCTTCCGAAAGTACTCTTCCTCGCTGGCGGCGCCCCTTTCCTCGAAGATGTCCCTTTTCCGTCCATCGCCGCTTCTTCGCCGTCTTTCCGAATAGGTCCTCGAGCCCTCGCGCGACGAGCGATATCTGAATTACGTGTGCAACGTTCGGTGTGTTGTTAGTTACGACGGAGGATGCGGAGATCGACGGTGTCGTTAATTAAAAGAGGTTACATCGTCGTCTTCAGTCTCTTCAATCGGTTGTATTTTGCAGCAAGAACGCGCAGCATAACGTTAGCTGCTCACCGCTGCTTCATCTTGCATCCCCTTGTTCTCCTCTTCTCCGCCTCGTCTTTAGATTGTTAATTATTCGAGCTCGTTAATGCCATCTGATATAATAATTTTGACATAATTTTGACATAATGGCCATGATTTTCGATTTGGACTTCAACGCAGCTCTCTCGCCGTGAAGTTCTCGTTATTAAAAAAATTACGCACAGTTCGTCCGGAAACTGAAGTTAGCCGACCGCACCCTCCAGGCAAAGTTGCGACAAAGCTGAAGTGCAGCAGCTTGGGAAAGGATTCACGTCGAACTTGTTTTAGATTCACTTACAAGGAGGCGAAATCGTGGGGCGCGTGTCTGTCAAACAGCACATGCACGGGCGCAGTCGGGATGTTGACGAACAACGAAGTCGACTTCGCGGCGACGGAATTCATGATGACGTCGGACAGACTGGAGGTCGTCAGTTTCACGACACCGATTTACACGACGAAGTAAACTACAGAGAATCAAGTATTCGTAAAGGAATACTCGTAACGCGCGCGCGCGCTTTCTTACCCGTTCGCCTCTATCGGCTATTTATCGTTACTGAATCACTTCGGGAGCGACCTTTCTTTCCCGCTCGTTTGTTTTCTGCTCGGAACTTCCCATAGAATATTCGACATGATAAGTGTGGCGCGTACGAATCTGTTAAAGATGTCGCACGTACATTAAGAGGCCGGCGTCCGCGAACGTGAAGTGGGACGCTTACTTTGCGCCGTTCTCGGCGAACACGTGGAACGTCATAGCTCTCTTCATGGTGATCATGAGCGGGTCAATAGTGTTTATACAGAAATTCTTCGCCTTCGCACCGCTGCATCCGCCGGACGCTCACTCGTCCACGAGATTCACGGAGATCCTGTTTTACGTCATAGGAGCGTTCTGCAGCCAAGGTAATCCTGACTCGCTCTCGCGCCGCCCTTTCCTCACACATGGGCCGACAGCTTAACCCTTTCACTGTTAGTGGGAAGTAGGTACACTTCCCACCTTTTCTTGATTCAATTTTGCGTTGTAAATTACATAATTTTGGAAAACTAATCGGGGATTTGACTTTTCCAGATAACTGAATAATTGTTCAACATACTCCAGTAGGTTTTTATACCCAGTTATACATTTGTGATTATTTGTACCAAATCAGTGTTGAAAAGAAATGCTTTTTTTTAGGGAAAAATCGATCCCTCGGAGAGTATTTAATATAGAGGTCTGAAATTTTCACCAAATATTTTTCTGATGTTGTACAAAACCATATATTTTTTTCAGTATTTTTTTGCAGGTTAAATTTTTTTTTATAAACAAATACTCCTATAAAAACGGCCGAAATTTGATTTTTTGCACTTTTTAGCTCTATTTTCCTAATTTTTTCATTCTGTATCTCCATCTTATCCGTACTATCAATATTATTTTACTCAAAAATGAATGTTTAATCTCCAGTAAGCATAAATGTGCAGTATAGAAATTTTTTCCAGCTCGATCGAGTTCCATCGTCTAGAATCATATGTTCTCATTACGACCTGATCATTATTTCGGATACAGATATCCAAACAATTGAATATTATATTTTGGACATTTTTCCAATATTTTGGAAAATTTTACATTATCTCGGGGGAATTTTTATCAATTTCGTATATTATGGTCGCCGTATTGAATCCGCCATTTTTAATTTTGTAAATCTGACTTGAGATTCGTAATCAGCGATTCGAAAAACCTATATATCATCAATAATAATCGGAATTTTCATTAATTTTGTACATTATGATCGCCATATTGAGTCTGTCATTTTGAATTTTGCAAATCTGACTTTAGATTCGTAATCAGTGAGCCAAAAAATGTAGGGCTACCAAATATTTTAATAATTTTCTCAGGGGAAATTAATTCAGCAGTGAAAAAGTTAAATGTACAATCGTTATCTGTCGTTGCTACATCACTAGGTATGAAACAGTCTTCTCTGGACCCCGTGAGGATGGTGCATTTCGTAATACACATAACAGCCGTCGTAATCTTAGCTGCATATTCCGCTTCCTTGATCAGCTTCCTCGCGGTGAGCACCTTCGTTATGCCCTTCACGACGATGGACGGCCTTTTGAAAGACGGAACCTACCGTTTCGGCGTGATTGGCGATTCGGCCGACTTCAGCTTCTTCCAGGTACACTTAAGTATTTCGATCGTTCTTGCGATGAATTTAGGAGATGCAGGAGAAGCGTGCGCGCTTGACGCTTGAGCTTTTGCCGCTTGTTTCGTTATTTCATTATTAGTTAAATAAAAGTTAATATCAAATATTATCAAAAATTGATAAAAAGTTAAATAAAGTTAAATACACTCTCGGTTTGCGCGCATAAAAAGCAGCAATGCCGCGTGAGGTCATATCGCAACTGGTACATATCAACGCGCCTTGATTTTGATTTACGTTGATTAAAGCTTAACGTTTATCCAAATAATCAGAGTCGTAAAAGCAGAGTCGTAAAAATCACGTTTACGGACGATTTCGCATATGACGGTGATTTATGGCGATCTCTTCATGGCAGAACACCTCAGACCGAATACTCAGCGTGCTGTTCGACGAGTTGTTAATGAAAGAGACCCATTTGCCGAATAATTATATGGACGGTCTGAAACGAGTTTGCAAGGAGGACAAATACGCTTTTATGACGCTGGACAACATGGCGGCGATATTGCAGCAGAGAGTCGACTGCAAACTGGAGCCATTGGACGCCATCACGCAAACTACCATAGCGATGGCTTTGCGTCCCAATAGCCCGTATCGTGGTATCATCAATGCAAAGTGGGTTCGAGTTTCGCCATTTCGAGCGCGATTTCGACGCGCGAGGTGTCGCGTGTTGTTGTAGCAAAAGTTTCCTACATTTTGTTGCAGTCTTCTTCTGCTGAGGGACAGCGGAATCTTACAGCGCATGCTGCAAACGCAATGGTCGGTGCAGCCGGTTGCAGTGAGTATGCTTTCGTTAATTGCAATAATTATTATTAACCTAAGCCGCAACCTCAACCCCTTAATTTTACACGAAAATCTGCCGAATTAAATTGTCCGACAATAACGTATTTACTTGGCGAAACTTCGTTGAAAACCTTGTGCGATCTGTAAGATGAATCTCTTCCTGCGAATTGATTTTATATGAACGAAATGTGTCAGTTTATTTTAACCCATTAATGCCGGAGGGCACAATTTGAGTATTTTTCAGTAATATTGAACATTTTTATCAAGATCCATGATTTAAAAAATAATTGACGAGAAAGAGTAGCATTTTTTGGAAAGAAACCGTTGCAACTCAACACAAACATCTTTTTTATGATTCTCGCAGCGAATTCGGAAAGAGCGATCTCGAAAACCCCTATTAATGTACTTTGGATTAAAGTTTTCAAGCATTTTCATAAAAATTCATAACATTGAAATCAACGCGAAATTTCTCTCCCAGCCGACATTAATGGGTTAATTTGTAACCAAAATAAAAATGGCTCGAGTGATGCCCGAATGTACAATCGTGCTTGATCGCAGAGAAAATCATCGTGGAAGTCCGTCGAGATCGGCGATATAGTACCGCTGCTACTTCTTATGATCGCCGCTTTGTTCGTCAGCTGCGTTGTCCAAATCGTAGAACGCATCATCTACAAGAGTTTCTTCAAGTAGAGGCGATTGGGAATTAATAAACACGATGGCACAGCTGAATGTGTGAACAGAGAATGCTGCTTGTTCGTTACATTCTTGTTTAATATAATTCTACCGATCTTTCAGTCGTTTAATCTTGTTTTAAAATTGTACATTATTGTTTCGTACACTATTGTAGCCCATTCCACGATATAGATCCCGATATAAATAGCACAAATACATTATACCACATTTAAAATATACTTGATCCCGATTACCGTGTTTGTAAACAGTATCACGGCACTGCGTAGTGTATCAGGAGATTTACCGTGCTATCGTGCTCTCCGAGCAACTGCCGGAATCGGCAGTTGACTCGGAGAGCACGGTAGCACGGTAACTCGGAGACTGACTAAAGGAACAAAGGTAACTTGTGTTACATCTCGTACATTTCTCATATATATCGCCGAAACTTTAATTTATCTTCGTTGGATTTATAGTTCTTATCGTCACCAAGTTAATAATTAATAGTACACTTTTACATATATACTATTTAAATAACATTGCACATATTAATTAATTGATTGTGAATCATCCTATGGGCGCAATTTGCAATTGTAGAGCCATGTCGAAGAATTTTTGCTGGACGGAATGTCACAAAAGAACAATCTCGAAGCCTAATTCGACCGAGGAGAAGGAAAATATAAATCCGAGTCAAAATGCCAAGTTCGTTGAAGGTAAGAGCGATATAGAAAAGAAGAGAGGACTATCAGCGGATGCGGAAAATCGGAGAGACGATGTCACGTGTACGACGTCGATGCTGCAAAAGCTTACCATCCCGGGCAAAGGTCAATTCAAAATTTATCGCGACGAGGACGAGAGATCGCGCCCGCTCGTGCGGAAAAGCGCGTGCAGGAAAGAAATGAGAAGAAGGATTAAGAGAAGAGACTCAGAGGAATCAGCAGTTTGTACGGCGCTTGAAAGAGAGGAGCATACTCGTTTCTTAACACCTACTGCTTCGTACAGGTGAGACGGACGGTTTTCGATAAATCTGGCCAAAAACTGAAAAGAAATTAAATAAAAGTGTGTTACTCTTTGGAGCAGGACACGTTCTTTGAGCAACAACCGAAATAGAGTTTCTTTACGTGAAAACAACAAGTTGCACGGATCTGTAGATCAGAGGTAATTCTATGTTCATACATGTGCACGATATCAAATATTATCATTAGTAATACGTCGCCTATAGAGTTTCCAATCCCGGATACAATTTAGGACCCCGGGATCTCGGGATCCCGGGACTAGTCCCGGGATTATATATATGTAAAGAAAGAAACAAGGAATATTTACAAATAATAGAATTATTTTATTTATAGAACGTTCATCATAGACTTTTATGAACATTATGACAAAGAAAAAGTAAAATTTCAGTAAAAATGATAGCAACTTACATTAATGATTGCACAAAAACCGTTACAATTAAAAATTAAAGCTTTTGTAATAAAAATAAAAAGAATTATTTCTTCTTTTTCACATTGAAAAAGCGACTTTAAAAATAATGAAACATAAATTTTGTTAAAAAATATCAGTTTATCCGCGAAATTTGAAATAGAAAACTCCCTTAATATTGAAAACAAATAAAAATAATACATGGAATTAAATTTAAAATATAAATACTCACTTCTCTAGCAAATGCTCTGAAACATCAGTAACAAGTAATAATTATTAAAGTAAAATTTTTGTAAAACGTAAGTATTATATAGACACTGAGCATTAAATTTTGAAATCCCGAAATCCCGGGTTTTGTGATGTTGAATCCCGAGTATTTTCGGGAACAAAAATTTGGCCGGGATCCCGGGATTGGAAACTCCAATCGCATATTATATACTTGCGGAAAAATTCAATTCAAAACTTATTAATTATTTTCGATATTTATCATAATCGGTCGCTTAAACATCAATTTTTTCCCGATATGTCATCTAACTTTGCTGTAGGAGAAATGATACAGTCTGTATCTATGCGAGACGACTTTTAATCACATGCCGATACTTTATAAACCAAGTTTAACATTTCTTGAAACGTTCTCTGAAAAGTTTTCTAAAACGAAAGAAAACAAGAAAAGAGATATAGTGATACTTTGGGCTTTCACGCAGAGGGACGTAGAGAAATGTTTGATTTGTTCTTCGGGTCCCGAAAACTGAATTCCGGATTGTCCCTCTCTCTAGAAAAAGAACATTTTTCTATCTAGAAGAGAACTTCTATCTAAAATCAAACAAAAGCTGTTATATATTAATCGATCATTAATCGATCGTCTTTAGATGCTGTTCCGAGAAGAGAAAGTCCTCATGCGCACAGAGAAACCAGCATCTCTCCAACGATGTGAAGAAACGGACGTTATGCAGTATCCAAACGTGGACAGACAAGATGAGAAAATCGCGCAGTTAGTGTTTTACGAGTTTAATAGACGCTAAAACCCGTCGAGAACTCCTTCTTCACACGCTTATCTTTTTAGTCGATGTCGTGCCCAAGAGCTCTTCGACTACATATACCGTTGCGGTGAGAGCGGATGAAGCGCGTGCCAAATGTAAACCGAAAAACTACATTGACTTTGGCCCCAAAAGCTCGCGTTGTGAATTCAACTCAACGCGAGGCGGTGAGTTTACCAACGAAAAATCAAACAATTTGAAGACTGATACGAACGATTACGTCAATAACAAGAAGGATGACATTTTACAAAACATCACTGAGAATACAGCGGTGTCGTATATCTCGAACGAATTCGTTATGATTCCGCAAACCGCGGCATTTTCGGGTGCGCAAGCTGGCACTGATGCGAGGTAAATTATAATGTAATTAAAGATAATTATAATTAAAGACAATTTGTATGGAAACAAGCGGAAAGTAGGAGTTCTGTCGTCAGCGTTATCAGTCGCGGATTTAATTAATTAATTAATTTATATTCCAAGTATAACAATAATATTGCATTGATATTATAATTTTTTATTTGAACTTGTGAACATTTATAATTGTGTTATGTTGCTTTGTTAAAAGGAAAATTATAACATTGATTTTGGTTCGGAATTATTTCAAACTAAAAGTCACGAGGACATATTGAGTTAATTAAAAGATTCGATTAATATTTTCGATAATTGACGGTAAATGTACGTACGGACGGTAAAATTACAAGTAACAATCCGTCAATAATGTTCCGCTAACACATCAGCAGAAGATGGCGAAAGATTGTCGTCTCTTGATAGATAATTTGTCTTGGATTGAATGTAATAAAGTCAAATTTGACTGAATAATCAAGCCGAATTTTTTGGCTGACTAATTGGAATATACTTTGCTTAATTTGCAAACGTGTTTTTAGCATGTGCGTTTGTGATGACAATCAACAATTTACGGGAGAAATAAATTTTAACTATGCAACATTTTCGCGTAGTCCTAGGAGACTGTTGTTGACTCCAACAAAGGTAGGACGCACAAACTTCTATTGTATAAACAGAATGATGAAATAATCTTATTCTCGATACACATAATTTAATATACTATCTCTAACGTTGGCTGGCTTAATTTAACATGTTTAAATATACAATTCTCAAATTTATAGATTTATAAATAGTTATGTACTTTTTTATACCATAAACAAACTGGAGATTACTCGATTATCCACTTGCTACGATACTTAAAGAAACGCTTGCATCTTTCGCAAAGGTACATCACGGGCAAAACGAGGCAGCAAATCAGTTTTTGATCAACGGAGAGGACATCGCTCAAATATCGTACGAGGATGATTATTTAACGTATTTGCCAAGCACGGAACGCGAAAGGGAGGAGAATGCTCCGAAGCTTTCCTCCGGCTTTCTGCGTGGAAACATAAACGCGCAACAAAGGAGAATCATCGTGGGATATTTGATACATCTTGGCGTGAGTTTAACAAAAGCACTATCGGTTGAATCCCCTTGCAGGGGAGAGACGCGACGAATAGTTGTGTGAAGTCGGCCCCCCGACCACCGAGAATTTAATTTTGACCATTGCCATTCGTTTGGTGGTCGTTTGGTAGCGTTTGGTAGTCTATTCCTAACGTTCGATAGTCAAAAGTGCAATAGTTGTCGCAAAAAATGAAAATTGTATGTGAAGTTGGCCTCCCCGGCTCGAAAATCGTTTTCCCCGGTGTCCTGGATAATTTTGACCATTACCAATCGTTTGTGTCGTTGATAGCGTTTGGTAGTCATTCCAACGTTTAGTAATCACTGCAATAGTTCTCGCACAAAATTATAATGTGAAGTTGCCAGCTCGAAATCGGTTCTACGGTGTCCTGGATAATTTTGACCATTACCAATCGTTTAGTGCTCGTCTGGTAACGTTTGGTAGTCCATTCCCAACGTTTGATAGTCAAAATTGTTTTCGTTATTAGTAAAAAAGTTTGCATTTGTGAAGCTGGCTTTCTAAGTTTAAAAAATGTTACGCGACGTTCCCTTGTCGCAACATTTTATGTAACTTTCATTGTGACAAATTTTTTGGTGGTCGTATTTTTACGGTTGATAATCGATTCCTGACGTTTCATCGAAAATAATAGTAATTATTAATGAAAATCGAATTTGCGAGTGTTAGGTTAGCTTGCCAAGTTTAAAAAAGCACTTCCCGCGGCATCCTTTCATAATATACATAATTTTCATTATAATCATTTGTTTAATGCGAAGTTACTAAACTATAAAGATTTGCTTATTGGCGAATTTCTGGGCAGAAGATGCATTGACAAAAAGGGGTATTGACATCACCGTGAATCCCAGTGGCGTCTATTTAGCGGCTTCAAGTGGTTTTCATTGACTATATGTGAGATGTAAAATCGAATTTAAATGTCAGTTTGATTATAAACACCAATTATCGTGGTGAGTATTAAACATAACTTATATAAAAAAAGTATTTTCTTTGAAACTAACAAACCACGATCATATAATATAATAACCATACCTACGTTAAGTGCGTTAGGATTATCTGTAACATGACGAGAGAGTGGGGATGGGTAAATCTCTATAGTTTAGTAATTATGGTTTAATGGAGGCTATTTTATGTTTATTTCATTACGAACGATAATCGAAATTGTAGTCGTAATGAAAATAGAGGTTTTAATGAGAATTACAAAAGCTGATGAAAAAAAATTATTTTTACTTATAAAACAGTTAAACGACTACCAAACGATTAGTAATGGTCAAAATTATGATATAATAGTAATGGTCAAGATGCCATGGAAACTGCTTTTCGAACCGGGGGGGCCAACTTCACATTATAATTTTATACGAGAACTATTGCAGTTTTGATTACCAAACGTTGGGAATAGACTACCAAACGCTACCAAACGACCACCAAACGATTGGTAATGGTCAAAATTATCCAGGACACCGTGGAAACCGATTTTCGAGGCGGGGGGGCCAACTTCACATATAATTTTTATTTTTTATGAGAACTATTGCGCTTTTGACTACCAAACGTTAGGAATAGACTACCAAACGCCACCAAACGACTACCAAACGAATGGCAATGGTCAAAATTAAATGCTCGGTGGTCGGGGGGCCAACTTCACACAGCTGCAACGAATTGATAGAAAATACTTTTCAACCTCGCACGTCGAGCGTCACGATTTCCACGACTGTGATCATTTCCAGACACATTGTAACTACGAGTCTTCTATCATTTACCAAGCTGTCAAACTGTTTGACACCGCTGTTGACAGAATTACGGTAAGCACGGAGCAGATACAGCTGCTGGCTATAGCGTGTCTCTGGATCATTCTCAAGAGGGATTTGGCTAATTATAAAGTACCATCGGTAATCCAATCTTCCGTCTTTGGAACAGAAGAAATATGTATACGTACACATGGCGATTCAAAGAATCGTATTGCAATCTTGATTAATTCATTTGTCGAATATTTCACGAGACCTAGCGATTCCTCGCTGTACACTTTCTTCCTCTTTCAGGCAACCAAGATGTTGAAACTGGCGAAAAACGTGTACGACAAAAGAGAGGGATGTTTGTTGATACACGAGAAGAAAATACTTTCAGCTCTCAAGTTCAACGTGCGGTTCGCCGATCCGTTTTCTTTGCTTATGTATCACATATCGAGTTTGAATCAAACGCATCGATACCTCAATCAAGATGAGGTCATGCGTGTCTACTTTTGCGGTAGCTATTTGGTACGGATGCAAAAATATATACTGCGCACGTTAGAGATGTGCAAATTCAATCGCCGAAACTTGATTCTTTAGTTAACGGCATAATTGATAACATAGTCTGCAGGAGTCAATTGCTGGATATTATTGCAAGTAATTTCAAGTCGCGGGAGAATAATTTTCGGACGCATGATAACGTACGAGAATTTCTTTTCAAACTTGCAACGTACGTGGGGATCAACTTTTTACATAAGAAAAAGATTATCCTGAACTATAATTACCATAATATTATAGAACTCCATCCTATTCTTCCCTAACTGCTTAATCTTATGAATATAATTGATTAATTTTATTGATTTATTCTCTTCTTACGCATTTTATTTTGTGTTAGATTTTCGCAATCTTTGAATAGTTCGGATTCGAACAGTAAGGATTCGAAAGTCTTGCCTGATTCGATTCGACGCGACTCGATTGCGAATAGTTCGCACATCTCTGGTATAATACGATCTTTGATATGCCAACGTATTCGCACGAATATCAGTGATCTTTTCCCTTACAGATCGACGTAAGCATGTCAGACGAAAGCTTATGCAATACCTCGGTATTCGTGCTGGCAATAACTGCTTTCGAATTGGCGCTTGATTTCGTTCTCGCATCTAATAACATGGACCAAACGTGGCGTCAACTCTTGAGAAATAAAGAGACACTTGCGATGTAAGTAACTTAGGAAATGAAACGTAACGAGAGTGTTGTTTACCGCGCGATAATTATTATTGAAGGTGGAAAAATGTATATCGGCAAATTACAATTGTTGTTATCAGGAAATACAATTTGTAACACGTGTGCGATCCTAAAGTTGTGTACACAACTATTATTATTGCGATACAGTCTGATCATTTGCAACTGTTTTTGTTCACCAACTCGAGATTCGTTCATTTTAGATGGGAAGAGGGACAGATCTCTTTTGTAAAACAAATTATGGTAAAATTGGTTCTGCAAACGGGGAATCCTTCGAAGATTGTATACAGGAAATATCAGCGCAGCAGAACCTGCAAAGTCTCCGACTTCATTGTCAAGAGTGCGGAAAAGGCCGCAGAGAATTTCAAGCACGTTATATGATGTATTTTATCGTTAATTTTTACTCAATCTGCTACTCGCCGATGCACATAATGTAACGTGCAGGTCATGGTCGTGATCGCATTTTTATACCTCAACAAGTGTCTATCTTTAAGATATTTTATAGAAATCGGACGTAGAATTATATAATGTAAACATGTGCTGGAAAACAAATATATATATATATATTCTTTTTTATTTTTTATTCTTTATTTGTCGTAAGCATTAAGAAACGAGAGATTTCCTCCGGGCCCTTCGTTCTTCGCGTTGGAAAGCGTGTAATCTGTATCACGGCAACGTTACACTTGCCAGCGTACAAACATAAGCGTGATTGCCGACGATGACAGCGGTTTATTCATGCGACGTTTTTTTTACAAGTATACCCCTGCCACCGAAGTACCACTCAACATTGATTATTTCTCAGCAACAAGAGGAGTAATATCACATGTAACACAATGTACATAAAAGTGCGCGCCTCGTCTTTTAATGATTGCTGGAACCATCCTGGGCCGCCCAGGCGTCCCACTTGTCCCACGTGTTGTCGATGGACATCAGTTCCTTAACGTCATCCTAAAGACAATATAATGCTTAATGAGAACTGATTATACTTCTGTATACTAGTAAATATTCAAAAAGGAGCCTACTCGATCGAAGACGGATTGACTGTATGTTTGTACCAGCAATATGTACTTTCTCATCAAGCAAACAAAAAAATTACTATATAAACATAGTGCCTAAAATGCTTAGCTTAAAAGCTATTGTCGAATTAAGATTAAAAGAATTCACTTTGATGTGCCGACAACGGCAACAACGGCTTGATGAGAAGGATATACACAATAATTATACGTAACCAGCCCACCCTTTCTGAAACATCCTGTATAAATCCTTAATATAAAAACATATATATTATATATTATGTCAAATTATATAATATGATTCATACATGAATTTTGTTTCTATATAATTATATAAAGTTATATGTGTCCACACAAAAGAAAGCGCTGTTGAATGACGAAAAGAAGAAATTGTTTCGTTCAATTGTATAATTAATCATTATACATTCATAATCATATTCCCGTACCACAGCGTTTTATTTTAATGTGGACACGTATAGAAGCAAAATTAAGAATATAATCATCTATGATCATTTGTTGTTGAGTGCTTCTTTTCTCCATCTTTTCCATTTGGGAGTTGATCGGCTGTGTGAGCTACTCCAATTGCAGAAACTACAGAAAAGGAGCTTTTACCTTGAAGAGTACGTTGCGCTTGTCATCCCAGGCGCCAAACAGACGCAGGAGGTCCGGATGCTTGGAGTACAGGGTGCTGGCGGCCAAGATGCCGTGTTTCAGTTCCTCCAGAGCGTTTGGACTTTTCCCGGCCGAGCTGACGATCACTCTCGGCGCTTCCAATCCCAGGTTGCAGCGCTCCCATTCGTTGATGGACATCCGGCCACCCTCGGGGCAAAGTAATACGTAATCTTCGCGTTTGCCAGCGCCGTGTTTCTCGTCATCTGTAGTAAAAATAATAACGGTCACCGGGGGCGAGAAGCGCGATAGTATTTACTTCGATGGAAAAACGCTAATAACCGAGCTGCTGCAAAGCCGTCAAGGGCAAGAACGCGACGTCTCCTTTGCCGTCCTTCAGACACCTGGAAGAAAACAGGCGAATTGACCTCTCTTGTTAACTCAAAAATCACAAATCGATTAAGCCTATTCGCGCTTAATTAACTGATAACTAACAATCAACGATTACGATACCGAACGATTACGAACAAGGAATCATGGAGTATTAACCTGAGCGCTCCTAGTCCGCCATTGTAATACTCGGCGCTCGTCGGCCTGCACTTTGTGGCTTGCCTCACTTTCTCGTCGTCGGACAAGGCATTGCCGACGCACAATTCGCAGGACTTCGAGTCGGCGGGTGCACCAGGTGCGCAAGACGCAGAGAAGAAACTCTCTAACTCGTTCGGCTCGCTGATGAGGCTCTTCTGCTTAAGGACACGAGCCGGTGCGGTGGATCCGGCAAAGTCGCCCACGTAGCCGCTGCGGCAGGACTTCTTGTCTTTAAGATCGCCTGTGGACGTCGGTTCAATGATCTCGGTTCCATATAGTCACATCATGTCATTTTACACGATTATACATGCGGCACGAGATCGTGTCTGGATTCTGTCGATACATGTAGACCTACACACCTAATCCATTAATGGACGACCCGCTCTTGACGACAGCCACTGCCGCTCTTTCACCGAGCTTGGTCGAACCGGCACCGTAAGTTTCCGCGACGATCGGTTTCACGTTGTACTCGCTGATCGCCTGCTTCACCGAGCTGCCATCGATCACGGTTATGTCCGCTCCGTTATCCCTCACGGCCTTCAAGCAAGCAGCCTGATCCTTCTCCAGGATGCAGTCGAACCTAGGTCGGGCGTCTCTGTAACATCATTTAACATCATCTATCATTGCGGAAGAAGCCTCGGTCGAAGCGATGGATTCGTATGTTCTTGTGAGGCAAGTTCACAAGATACGATTTCACAGGCGGTCACCTGGAAAACGCGGCCCTAGCGAGATTCCGACACTTGTCCAGCGCGTTCGCGTCCGAGACGCACCAGCGGGCGTCCCTCTCGGGCGCTCCGGAATTCCTCTCGATCACGTCCATGTATTTCGCGCTCTTCAGGTGCTCTTCCGGCGACACCGGCGGCGCGGCGACAGCCAAGGTCTTCTCGTCGAGCAGCATGAGGTCCTTCCACCAATCTGCCTTCTCGTTCTCACCCAGCTGGCCCAGCTGTGTCAATTCCTGAAACGTTGCGGCAATTTCACGAATTTTAATCCGATTCAAATTGATTGACTTAACACCGATGAATTTAGAAACAACTACTTTAAGTTGAAAGTTGACTCCGCCAGAATCAATTAAGGCAAGTTAACAGATTTTTACTTTCCAATTTGTTAATTTATCTTTTAACTCTTTTTGATTTAGCTATTGTCCAACCTCGATTGTGCTCGATTGTTTGACTTTGTACACTTGAACACTCGTATAAAATGTATTCGTGTCAAATATACAAAATTAGCTTCGCAAAGTTGTTCCAGCTGTCAAACAGGCAAAGACACACCTCCAAAAGGATACACGTCGCTATCGTTTAGTTTCTCCACAATGTATCCGAGGCAATGTACCCGAGAAGAAATCAAATACGGCAACTTTTTATGCCCGATATGGCATGACCAGGCAAGCCATAAAAGGCATTATGAGTGATCCTTATCCGGTCGGAATGTGGCAACTGTCTTGCAATATTTTCCGAATTATACCCTGACTGCAGCGATGACCATCATTATTTGGATGCCTGATTTGGTCCTGATGGACATTTCATCAGGTTTCTCGATTTCAGGCAATTTTATCAGGGCATTATGCAGTTTCACTCCTTATTACGTGCCGGATCCGATAAAGTTATCCGGGCCCTATTTGAAATTTGGAAGCCGGATGGGGAGGGGGGTTTAATACGGCCATGGGACGATGTTCTGGTCGGGATACTTTCAGATATTTCCTTGTAAGTAAATTCACATACCTTCTGAATAGCTTGCACATTGTTGGCGTCGTCTCCGTTGGTCATGTATCCTTGCCACGGTCGAGCGGCCCACGTGCACGGCTTCGTGTCGGCGTCGATGGGCACTTTGCTGCCGTCAGAACAGAAGTATCGGAAATCAGCCGGATTCTCAGAGGTCGGTACCGCTGGTGTCACTCCGACAGGCAGACCGAAGAAACGTTTCACGTAGATAACCTTCGTCCAGGCGACCTGGCCGCCGTTGTGAGCGAGGCAACGCAAAGCGCCCTCATATCCGGAGTATTTGTCTGGATAATCGCACACGTCTGGTTTCTCGCAAAGAGCGCACATATTGCTGTATGTCTCCTCTGCGAATTAAGTGATTTTTGATGTTTTCGAAGAACAAAGCAAGAGAAGTATCGCGGTAGTAATAAATAAGTAGTTGCGCGAAGTGTCTCGCGAAGTCTTTCGAGCGGCAAGTTTTATGCAACGCAATTTTATTCCCGACGACGCGAAACACACTCCATTCCGTAAGGAAGTTAAGTAAAAAAGTAAAAAAGTTACGAGGGAAGTGAAGAATGTAGCAAACGCGCGCGTCGTCGTGCCAAATCGTCACAAAGTCACTTCTCATTTCATCACTTAATTTCGTTTCTTCTTAAATTTCATAACCCGACGAAAAATAATTATATACGAATTTTGTCTCCGAATGGCCATGTATAAATATGCGCAATTATATATGTCTACACACTCTCTGAAAAATTGCTGTTGTAGCAAACAGTTGAAGTAACTGCTTACATTTATAGTAGATCATGATGATAGACTTAAAATTGAACGAAGCAATTTCTTCTTTTCTACCTTTTGACAGTCTTTCGGCCTCGGTGTAAATCGTATATATAATTTCATATGATTGTATACATGACCATGTATAAAGACAAAATTTATATATAGATCGTATATAATAATATACAACTTATTTATATAATTATATAAAATCATATGTAATCTTTTTTCATCGGGATGCACGTATCTTTTTGGCTGACTTTCTTCTGGTCAGAATCCTTCAATTATGCGTCCTGCCATTATTCGCCGCTGCGAATGCGGATAATTGAACGCGAAAGTCTTCTCGCGAAATCGTGTGACTTCTCGTGTGAAAATTCTCGCGTCATGAATCCGATTCAATGCGGAGCGACGACTACTGACGATCAATCATCAAGATTCAATCGGACGACTGATGCGAATGATAACAAGCCGCGATGACGTTCCGCGGGACATTATGAGGATACAATTCATGTATAATTATGCGTAAGATTTTATATAACGACGTATAATCTTTTTCTATTGGGAAGTGTTCCGTTTACGAGCACCGTCGCGCGCAATTTTCTCCCACTTGCACGGCTGCGCCATAGCCCCCCCTCCCCCCGCAAGTGTGTACAACACAAGCCGCGAAATTAGTCCACGTCGGAAGTGGCGCGACGTGCGACGCGGGGCGTCGCATACAAGCGTCGTTTTGCAGCTAACAATATTGTTTGTCGGCGGGTTCACCCACGTGACATAATTGACTCAACTTTCGCAGATTGCTGCCACTTACTGAGCCTCTGATTGATCGCGGGATCGGGTGACCACGTGCCGACCAAGCAGCCTTTGTCGAAGAGCGTGCTCAGAGCGCGAAGCTCATTCTCGCGAGCGGAATATTCCGGGTTGTTGACATCGGTCAGCACGCCCATCGCGGTGAGCTTCGTAATGGGAATTTTGTAGCCGACGTTGCGGCCTACGCCGGTGTGGCAGGACTTGAGGCCCCTCAGGCCTTGGACGTTGTTGATGTCCAGGTCCTTGTGCACCACCGCTACCGCCTCGTAACGATATATCGCTTCGGGCTCCTCCTTCGTCCTCACCTGATGGAGAAGGTCAAGCAATCAAGAGATGAAGCGTATTGCGCGCACGTAATCGCGCGCGATTGCGACGCGGAGAATTTCAATGATCATAAGTGCGTCGCTCGCACGGACGATTTCTCGAGACGAGCGCGAGCGATGTCTACGCGGGAGTATATATAGGCATCTTTCGACTCTTCCGTCCGTTCGATGCGGCGAACCGCAGCTACCGCAGGGAATTACCTGCTCGACAACGTTGTAGCCGGCCTTCTCGGCCAGCTTGTTCTTCGCCGCGAGGTACATGTCCTCAGGATCGACGGCGACGATGTCCGCCTCCTTCCTGCCGATCCTTTCGATACAGTCGTATCGGTCACGCCCGGAGATGCACGCTATAGGGTAGCCATGGCTGGCCGAGTCCTCCATCATTTTTTCGCACTCTTTCGAGTACTTCTCTGGGATGCACATTGTGACTGGAACAACGAACGGAAATATTTTGTTTTCTTTCGGACGTTGAGAGATTACAATTTTGCGCAACTGAAGGGACGATGAAAAGCTACTTGAGATCCTGTGGACCTATTTTCTTTGATTTTTTACGATTTTTTTGTCGCTATCGTCAAGCTGTCGCGCATTCTTTTCTAAAGCACACCTGAGCAACGACGATGTAACGATAGTCTTGTTAAAAGCTAAGAAATAATTTTACCGTTCTGGCAGAAAAGTATTACCGGCTACTTACTTTATATTTCATTTTGTATTTTTGTATTCCATTTTTTATAATTGCTTGGGAGATGACAGATAACTTTTTCGTCCACTCCGATATCACCCACGAGTTGAGCACGCGATGCATTGTGATTTGAACCCGCAAAATAGTCAAACGAACAAAGTGTAAATGAAATTCGATTGAAATACAATATCCGTATAAACTTAATTTTACTTTGACGATACAATTGGCAAAAGGATCTCCTGCGACTTTCTTTATTGAAAATATAAAGATAGAAGGTGTTCCGGAGTCATGCGAGCGCCTATTAAAACGCAAAAATCCGTTTTATCATTACTTGTGATTTTTGGCAGTACACGTGTTGAAGTGGAATTTTTTGATCCAACACAACACGCGTCTTTTGTTTTGTTAGCTGTCGCTCTTGCAAGTCGAATAGTTCGACACATCGAGCGTCGCATAATTTCCGCATGATGAGACAAAGTGATCGATAAGAAAATTAATAGTCGACGTTCTAATCTTCCCAACGACTCTCGTGGAACTTTTCGAATCCCGAGCAATAATATATTTATTGGCATAAATTGGTATAATTTTATATTGATTGCAACACATAATAATAAAATTTATTACTCGTACGAGTAATAAAATTACTGAGCACCAGTCATTTATCACCGGCCACTTATCATTGCCAGTAATACTTTTCTGTTAGGTTAAGAGATAATGCCTATTAATAAGCTATAAATATAAAAATATTAACATTATTAATATAAAATATCAATACTATTAATAAATATAAAAATAAATCGATATATTATAACAAATATAAAATTATATATACCAATTTTTATGTCAATAAATATAAACATCACAAAAACGTGAAATGTGAAGTGTAAAAATACAAGATGAAATATGAAGTCCCCAGCGTAATAATTCAAATGCCGTCGAAAGTCAACGATCGAAGACAATGGTGCAGGTTGCATGAGAGTTCTCCAAGTGTTTTATCCGTTTCACGCAGGACAAAAGTAGCCGGTCGCAGCAGTTTGCAAGTTCCCTGACCTATCCCTACCGATCAGTCGTCAATAATCAAGTGATAGTCCCCAAGGGTTACTTACACACTTGTTCCGAGGCGATGACGGCCGAAGTGACCGTCATCGCGAGGACGGCCAACACCGTAAATCCGCGCTGCATCTTGCTGACGAGGGCACGCGGAAACGGAAACGTCGCGAGACGTCGAAGATCGATCGATCGATGAGAGAGCAGAGTGGAAACCAAGCGAAGAAGCTGATCGCGACTCGTCAAGATGGCCCGCAGCGGCGATCTACGTACGTTCTTATATAGGTACGTCTTCTTGTTCCTCGGATTTCAGCTTCGTGAGAGGAGGGGAAGAAAGAAGGAAAGGAGGGGAGTTTCTCTCTTTCCCCTTCGCCCTCTCGGTGTTCTCCGCCGTCGCTCTTTCTCCGTTGGTTTCGCATGATCACGTCATCGTCGTCATTATTTATTCGATTTCTCGTCTCCTCCGTGGCGATGGCACTCTCCAGCTTCGCTGACGGGTCGCCTTTCGAGGAAAGACTGGTTCTTTTCTGTGCTCCCCGGCGTTTCGCGTTATGCGAATTGTTATGTCGAGGTGATATACACGCGGCAAGCGGGAGCTCTCTTCGTGGTCAATGAGATGATACCACGTCGAAATGTCGAAGCGATATGATATGGAGAGAGAAAAAAAAAGATTTAGATTGTTATTTGGTTGTTGATTCACGAAATTCTTATCTGTACAGTCCGTCCGTGGCAGTATCGCAATGGAGAAACAGCACTGGTTGATGTCAGATTTAGTTTCTTCTCTGCGTTTACGACGAAGAATATCGCATCTGCTCTTGCTTTTATAAAATTTTACGGTATCTTCTCTGTTATGTCTCTCTGTGTTCAGTGTTATTAAAATCGCTTATTAAAAGTCGGCTATTAAAAATGTAGGTCACGTAACGAACAATTAAAAACGCGCGATTTGTTGTGGATGTTACGTTGATGACAACATAGATTAGTGTTTGTTTCGAGCGTAAGCCAAACAGAGTAGTTGTTTTTGCCGCAGGGAATATCATCTCTTGCTGATAATTTTTTTATTTGAGGCTATGTTAATGAGAGAGAGAGAGAGAGAGAGAGAGAGAAAGAAAGATATAAAAGTTTCCACGATGACACTAATCGTATTTTTTCGAGCTGTTGAAACTAAATAATTATAATATTTGGACGTCGCTTATCACCGGAGAGAATGATCGAGTTTCGATTTTTTGGCCGGCAGAAAGAAAGAGAGAGAGAGAGAGAGAGAGAGAGAGAGAGAGAGAGAGAGAGAGAGAGAGAGAGAGAGAGAATCACTTGTCTTTGACGAAAGTCATTCCTCTACCCGCAGAAATTTGCGAAACAGTTCGCACGTATCGCAAGATAAATGCTAAAATCGTCGTCGTCGGGACGTAGATCCCCGCCGCAGTCGTTAAAATTCTCGGTAACTTTCCAGGTTCCTTGCTCCTTGGTTTATCTCTGCTAATGTCGCTGAGGGAAATCCTTGAGGCGATTTTTCTCTCCACTCGTTTCTCCACTTCGTCCGGCGTCCACGTTCGCAGGTATCAACAGCAACGCGTTCTCGACGTCTGGCGAATTCGCGTCCTTCGCGGCCGCTCCTAGCGACGCGCACGCACATGAGTGCGTGTACGCACACGCCGTTGTCTGCGTGTTAATTTGCATCGCGACAACGGAAACGTACGGAGATCTTTGTTCGTTCACACCGAGGAAATCATCGGCGGGTAATCCCCCGCGCGTGTGAGGTCATACACAGCGCAGATCGCAAGCTGGATGAAATAGTCCAACAGCGTAACGCAACTGCACGCTTATATCGTTAAAAAGAAAAAAAGAAACAGCTGCCGATAAGTCGCTAATCTGCAGGCTCGTTATAAATAATATTAGAAATTCCCCGATAACGCTGTCATATCATCGTGTACCGCAAAATATAGTTGCCACGCACGCGCGTAAAAAAACAATTTGTTTTAAAACAGCTTTTATCGCGCGAGACGAGATAGCGCTCCGTCTGGTGAATGTCGCATTCCGCTTCTTAATTATTTACTTTACGAGCGATTATCATCGAAAAAATTACCATATTAATAACGGATTACATAATAACGTATGTTGATACGTGGCACTAACTTTGTTTTTCCGTCAGGCTAGATCGTCTTACTCGAGGAGTTATGATTGAACCAAGTTCGGACCGGGTCATCGCTTTTTCTTTTATGGAATATTTAATATCTTTCACACATGTTCAAATATAAAATGTTTGTGTTCTTGTTTCTAAGTGATCGCGAGATATAATGGTCGTTTTGCGCGGAGATACAGATGTGTACCAACGATGCGCATCATTTTCCTCATTCCTTTCTCAGAAGTGGTAGTCTTCTTCTAAAATCGACACGTAGTTCTTCTTTGTAAAGAAAGGAAAAATCATGACCGCAATAATAAATAGCGACGCAATATGTGAAGCTAATTCGGTCGCCGCAGCAATCCTCTTACGCAACCGATTAAGCATGCATCCGATGCGTCCAATGCACCCGGCGCTCATTTTTCTTCCTTCCTTCTGCATATTCATGTATCCTTCGCCTCCTGAATGTAGAAATAGGTTGTAAGAAATAGGAATGTAGAATAGATTTATCAACAGGAGGCGAACAGGCAGGGGACGCCGACATCTCCCGATGCTGCAAACGTACCTTCTGCCGAAGCGACGCTTTCTTTTTAAAATTTCTTTTTACGTTTTGCATCTCAGCGTCGGATAAGTCCGCAGCTTCAAGACTTCCAAACGAGCGTGCAGGATTAGCAGGTGCTCGTAATTATCCGCGACTTTCATAATGAGCCTGGTACGCCTCGCGATCATCGTCAGTCTCATCCGCCGAGATTGTTCGTTTTTCTCGCGACGCGGATCCTTCAGCATCTTGTAGCACTCCTCGACGTCCGACGATCTCGATCGGATTTCCCTCGATATTCGGTCGGTTTTCCTCCTCCACTTGGCCGACAGCAGCTTCGCTTCTCGCAGACGTGTTTGTTCAAGCTCCACCAATCCGCGAAATTTCTGAGGTACAGTTTCAATCATTAGATAATTCCTACGGACCGGTAAAATAATAAATACCCACGTTTTGAAATATTCGCAAATTGGCTCGCATTTTCTCGTAATCCTTCTCGAGATTTACGTTATGAGGATCATTGTTCAAATGTTCGAGGATGTTTCTCGTGATCTGCAACATGGCATTATAATAATCATTATGCCAAGCATGTACCTATAATTTATATTAAATATAAATATAACAATTAAAATAATTATATATCAAAGTATAATATTTGAATTTTTTTATATTTAGAAAATAGTGTAGCATTGCTTAAAAATAAAATTGTGATCATAAATAATACTGAAAATTGCATAACGTGATGACGGAAAGCAAGCCTCACCTTGAATTGACAAACGTCTCTCAGCTCTTGCTGCAAATCATCCAACATCATCTTGGCGCAAGCGTGCTGCCACTCGTGCCGCAGCACGACCTTCCGCAAGTACATGGATCTGTGCATCGCCGTCAGCTTCCGTTTTCCGGTCTCGACGATGCAATTGTTGACTCGTAGAAGTTCCTCGCGGGTCACGAGAACGGCGTTCGCGTAGTCGGCGGGGCAGCCTCGTAGCGGGACTTCGATCTGGCCTGTTTTCAGGACGAGCTGCACCTCCATCTTCTCCGCGAGTCGCGCCAAGGTCTTCTCCGCATTATCCAGCTTGGCTCTCTCGCACGCCACAGCGTTATCAGCCGACTGCATCGCCTTCTGATAAAACGACAAGGTCTGCTCCGCCTCGGCCGTCTCCACCGCGCAGCATCTCACCTTCGACAGCATCCACTTTTTGCAGCGGTTCCACTTTCCATTCCCTTTAATGGTTAGCTCGAGGCGCTTATTGGCAAGGCGATATGTCGCCACTTTATTTTCGACCTTCTCGGTTGGAATATTAGGACCGGAAATCATTTGTCTCGCTTCTCCTCGCGATATATCTTATTGCGATAATAAATGTTTTTGTGTGTTTTGTTTTGTGATCAAGAAGCATCTAATCGGATCAGAGGAAAGTCTCTGTGAGACTTTTCACAGCTTCTTCGCATTTAATTTTTACCCTTAATTTAATCTTTTATTCCTAGAGCGACTTAACTAAATCCAATATGATTTAATTTAATATAAAATACACGCAAAGCAATAGCAATATCTGCGGTAGAAGGAGATCATTAATCGAGGCCCCAGAGTCAAATCATTCTGGGAATAGATAGCGAAATTACAGGTAAGAATCAGTCACGAAGAAATATAAAACATTCTCAGAAGCAACGACTCCCGCCCGATCTGATTAGACGACCTGCTTTCCTGCGCATGAAGCGCGCCAAAACAACATTCTGCATCGGTTATCTCTGCTCACCTTCGTCTCCAACTCGACCTTCGCTCTTCTCAGTCTGCACATCATCCGCCAGTGGTTGATGTTAATCTGCGGCGGCAAGTTCCCGGGCATCGTGTCCATCAGGTCCATGGCCCTGAGGAAATCCAGACACTCGCGTGGCAGGATCTCGGACTTGTCGCCGCTCACGATGCACCTGGCCACCTCCGTCAAGTACGTGACGGACGTGGTGGTGAGTCGACCGAGCCTGGGCCGCTTCTTGTAGTGCCTGAGCAGGTGCTCCACCATCGGCTGCTTCAGGTCCGCGAATTCGCCGCGGAACTTGGCCTCCTGGCGCTTCTCGGCCTTGCAGAGGTTATCGTATCGCACTTTCTGCTCGGACACCACCGTTTCCAGCGAATTGCATTCCTCGGCGAGCTCGCGTGCCTCTTGCGTCGCCGGTGCGAGTTGCTGGTCTCTGAGACGAGCGATCTTCTGCCTGTCGTCGGCTTCGGCCCGGTGCTTCCGAATCGCTCGCATCCTGATGGACCTTTCCTGAAAGATCGCGCATTCTATCCGCATCTTCTTCAGCTCGAGGTCCTTCAACTTGTCGTTAAACGCCAAGATGTCTCTTTGCAGAGCCTCTGCAGGGAGGATTTCGTGGATTTATGACTCTGTTTAAGATTTGCTCTTGCTACAACACGACCATCTCTTCAAGTTCTTTTACCGACCTTTCGTCTCCGCTATCTCGGTCCGCAGCATTGCTTTGTACTTCTCGCGTTTCCTCTTCAGCACGTTCATCTTGAACTTGTATACCGTGATGACTACAGTGTCCTTGACGGTGCGTTTCCAAGGGTATCTTACAATCAGGCATTTCGGCACAGGTATCTCCTTCTTCACCTCATCCTCCCAACTTAAAGCAGAACATCGCATTAGTTTTATTCTTGAGGTACGGGGAACGTGTGTGTGTGTGTGTGTGTGTGGCTCAATTAATGACTGAGTAAAAATGGATTAATAATATACGTAAGGTAAGTACATAAAACTGATTTCATCGGAGAACTTGAACATTTAGGGATTTAATTGCTTTATGTGGAAAGATTTTAACTTCACTAATTGAGACGTTCGTTTCAATTGTAAAGTCTCCTCCTTGATATAAATTTCTATAATATAAATAACGACAATCGTGCATTCATTTGTCAATTTCAACTCACCTCAGTTCCAGCACACCATCCATCATTTTATCGAGAGCTTTCATGTGAAAATCGTTACTTCCTTCGCCTTTCTCCCCGTCTTCGTGGTCTTTGTTAACAGTCTCGACTGCACATTTCCCCCGGCGCGATCGGTTCTCAAGTACTTCGCGGTCGTCTACGGTGACTGCGTAATCGGGTATCTCATCGACGCTCCAGGTCGGCATTTCGATCGGCCCCAGCGAGAAGTCTATTCCAAACATTCTCTTCAACTCAGCAGCGCAATACCGAAGTCTTTCGATGCGTTCCTTTGCGCGCTTTAATTCGCGCTCCTTTGAGCGCCTCATCTCCTCGAAGAGATCGTTGAAATGCACCTGTTAAAAGAAAAAACAGTTAGGTGGAATTTTAACGCAACGTAACTATTTGTTGGCGTAAACGTGTAAAGGCAGACGTCACTTTTAATTTACGCTCTCGACTTTCGATCATGATGTCGTTGCTCAAGATGGTCTCCAGATTACTGTTGCTTGGCATTAACAGCTGATGCGTTAGAGCTAAACTTTCATCCCCGATCCAATTGTGAGTCGTAACACCTGATATACGCGACTTCTCGGTTTCGTCCGTCGACGTGTACCACTTCTTAGCCATTTCATGCACTTTACTCCTCCCGTCGTCAGCCGTTGAAGACTCATCATCGGAGTGACTTGTCAATGATGCTCGTCTTGAATCATCTTTGTCGTCTGCTAATTCGTAACTATAAATAATATATTACTTTTCTATAAGAATGTAACTGTCTTTTCTATAAATAGCGTTACATCAAACATTGTATTAAACGCAAAATAATAATATTGTATCTGGAGTTAAATGTATTAAATGTGTTAAATGTGTTTGTATCAAATGCAATAAGTTGCGATTAATCATAATAAAATTATTAATTGTATTATTAAATATATTATTAATCATAATAATAAATAATATATTACATTACCATAAAGATATTAAAAAAATAATTATACTTCTATAAAGACCATCTTCTATACGGCTACAAGTAGCGCTATATTAAACATTGTGTTAAATATAAAATACAATATAATATATTTAATTCCAAATATGTATTGAACATGACAGGGGTTGACAAATTGTGACAAGCTGAAGGAGGCAGGAAGAAAGCGAAAGTAATCACCTGTATACAAATTCGTCGGCGTCCGAAGAGAGTCTGTCCCATATTTTAAAGTCGTTCGTCTTCCGGCTCGAAGCGACGAGGGGATAATTATGGACTTTCGTATCGCCGCCGATGGATCTGAGAGCGCACGGCTTCACCTGCAGCGGTGTCCAGAATATCTCGCGCAGATACGACACCACCTGATCTCGTCGAACGCACTCCTCCTCGAGGCTTCGATGCAATTCCTCCCGCTCGAGGCGCGCCTCTTCTATTTTCCGCTGCCGAAACTGGCGGTCCAAGTCGAAGGTCGAAATCGGCAGCCGGACGTCTGGCGGCTTGTTCTCGTTCCTATCGAGGAGCTCGCGTATCTGTCGAAGAACTTGCATTCGGTATGATGTTTGGATGATTTGAGAATTAGACGGATCAAGAGGAGGGAAGATATGCAACTACGTGAAAAGAGATATTTCCTTATTTTGCGCATCCCGCAGCAATCCAGATCAAATTATCTGTGAACGTCGCTTTAGATAATTTTGCTGAGAATAGCCTTTTGTCGATTCAAGAAGCAGATGAAGATGATGCACATTCAAATTCCCCGGACAGAGATAATTTGATTTGGATAAGAGTAAACACTGCTCACATTATCAATAATTTACACTTGGATTGAAATGATTTCCTAACAGTGACAAGGCGGTGGAATCGATCTCAAATAGGCGTGCCTGGTCCTTTATCCTCTTCAAGTCGGCCACGATGGCAGCCCGCTCAAGCAGAGCTTCGTCGCGTTCGGCTTGGAGCTTGGCTGCGATTACGCTGTCCAACCAGGTTTCCCTTCCGTGAAGTTCGCTCGGACCGTAAGAGAAATCTTCCATCGACAAACGCGTGCTCGCAGCCTCGGTCTCTACCAAGTTCGCTCTGGTTTCCGGCAAGCTGCTCGCGCCATCGAATTGATTTAGAAGCAATGTCAGTCGTCGAGCCGGGATAATGCAAGATGCAAAAAGTAGTAGAAGTGAAATACCGGACTCGGTTAGCAGCTAGATCGCCGTTCCTGCCGAGGGAGACGACCGTTTCGCCGAGGCGCGAATAGATCGCGGACTTTACTCCGCCCTTGCTTCGATGCTGCGGCATCAAGATCGCCAACACTCTCCCAAGGTCCGCGGAGTCCCTGACCACGACTAAGCCGTCGTAGCCGTACGTCACGACGTGAGATTCCGTCACGTGCATCCCGATCTTCCTCATCTGATGCACCGCGAAGAGTCTTTTCGTAAGAGCGACGTCTTGAAAGTCATTCTGCCGAGGAAAATTCATGATTTTCTCTGCCTTGCGCTGTCTCGTCACATCTTGACACACTCACTTGTATCTCCATCTGGTACAACTGTTTGGAGAGAGACGGCACGCCTAATATGCCCAGGGGCTCGCTCGATCCATGATACAGCATTCTGAAGGGTCGCGATAGATCTATCACGCAAGTGGCATGCGCGCAGAAATCGCTGGAGATCTCGCAGGTGTACACGATCACTTTGTTGCCGCCAACCGGAGCCATGGCAGGATTTGCCGTTACGAGGACCAAGATTTCGAAGCGATCGTCGCCCCTCTCGTACACCAGAAAGTCAACCACCTGCGGGCGATAATAGGATGAAATGGCGCTCGCTTGTATGTTTGTTCGTTTTTTCGTACGAGAGATAACTGTCTCATGTGTCCGCCGATTTCCAAGTGGCCAACAACATCCGCACGTTGCCGTTTGAGCGGCTTGCCGATGATGAAAATATCGCCAGTGCGGGAGTTGCTAAGTGCCAAAAATTCGCCACGGCGCGAGAATTTCATCTTGTCCAAGGGGTCTCTGTGAAGATGAAAGCAGCTGAAAATCTTGGGCGATGAGACGCTCGTGACGTCGACGAAGATGCAGCTGCCAGCAACGTTGCACGACGCGAGCATCGGCAGGGTAGGGTGTGAATCTGCACGAAGAACTGAAGCAAAAAATCTTTGTTAAACATCAATAACGTTTACTAATATATATTAATTTAATATTAATATATTTATATACAGGGTGTCCCATTTTAAAAGACCCACTCAAATATCTCAGAAACACTGCGTTGAATCGAAAAATGCTTCAGATAAAAGTTGTTTAGCTTGAAGGACATAGGACATAGGACAGCGATAGCATTTTGTTTATAGATGGCGCCACTTTCGAGATATTCGCTGATTATCAATTTTCTTAAATGGAAATCCCAGTTTTTTGTTATATCATCTTTTTCTACCAATTAATTTAAACAACTTTTGTTCGAGACACTTTTCTATTTGCTTAATATATTTTGAGATATTTAAGGAAAACTTCGTAACTTTTCCAACATTTACCTTACGATATCTCACTAACTATTCGTCGAAAGAAAAAATAATATTAGACTTTTTTATTTCATTTATACCATCAAGAATATATCACTATAATAGTGCCCTGACTTTTATTAACTTATCGACCTTTGGAAATTTCAAAATTATTAAATTAATAAAAGTTACGGCGCTATTATAGCAGTATATTCTTGATAGTAAATAAAGTAAAAAAGTCTAATACTATTTTTTCTTTCGACGAATAGTTAGCGAGATGTTGTAAGGTAAATGTTGGAAAAGTTACCAAGTTTTCCTTAAGTATCTCAAAATATATTAAGCAAACAAAAAAATGTTTCAGACAAAAGTTGTTCAAATTAATTGGTAGAAAAAGATGATATAATAAAAAATTTGGACTTCCATTTAAGAAAATTGATAATCAGTAAATATCTCGAAAACGGAGCCATCTATAAATAAAATGCTATCGCTGTCCCATGTTCCCCTTTAAGCTAAACAACTTTTGTCTGAAGCATTTCTCGATTTAACGCAGTGTTTCTGAGATATTTGAGTGGGTCCTTTAAAATGTGATACCATGTATATTAATTATATATATATATATATATACTATATAGTATATTAATAACAAAATACAATATATATTAATAAAATGTATATTTGTAATTAGTAATCATTTATATCGTAGTAAATTACATATATACAGGATGTCCCAGAACAATTGTTCGTGAGAGTGTAGGAACGAATTAAGGTGAACAAGAAAGTCCCATGTGTTCTGCGATATTCACAATAGTTATCAAGTTATTAATTATAGAAATTGGTAGGGGAGGAACACACACACACACATACATGTGAGCTGTTCCCGGGCCCGCCATACTGCGTTGATCAAATTGATATAATTTCAGACATGAATCACGCGATTTCGCACAAAGATATGGATTAAAGTTTACCTTCACCGTGATGTCTCAGAGACAATCTCGCTATTAGTTTGCCGCTCGACAGTTCGAAAATGCACAGACGATCCAGCTGGTCTATCGCAGCGACGTGATCCGCGCGTTGAGAGATGGAAAGCAGTGCTTTGTATTCCATATCGTCTGTGTATATAACTTCCACGCGCGGGACGTTGTCGTGATGTATGCTGATCTCGAAAATTTCTCCACTTTTCGAGTGGAGTAGAAGCCCGTCTTTGCAGCTGTGCCGCTTCGCCGCCCGGATGGAATGATAAGTCGTCGAAATCGACCAGACGAATTGCCACGACACGTCCCAGTTGGTTGACAACTTCTTGTAAAACTTTAGCAATTACGCAATAATTACGCCGATTGTTAACAGTTAAACGTTCAAGTTCGAACAACCACCCGCGCGGTATTCTACTGTTCTTGGCCCCCCAGCGGGTGATTTAACAAAAATTTAACAAAAATTATTTTTTATTTCACAAATCTTTTCTTCTAAATCGACTAAGCGCATTTATATTATATAAAATTATTATTATATTATTATATACTTATATATTTATTATATATAATTATTATTTATATATCATATATATTATCTGCTCGTATATTTATAGCGTAAAATTATAAAAATCAATGACTGGAGCCGATCGTATCAACATAATACGTACTGTAATTTCACTGGCTGCGTTCACAAGTATCACGCCGCTCCTGTAAGCGACGACAATCGGTTTGTTCCTCGGTGGTGCGCACGTTTCCAATTTAACTACCGAGTATAATTTGTTAGCTTCTATCGCCATGAGCCATACATTGCCGAGCTCGTCGCAGACGAATAGATTTCCTTCCGGGGTCCACGACGAAGACACAACTCTGTGTTCCGGATATGGCACGTCCACGTGATGTATACTTACTATTTTCGAGCACATGCGCACCTGATAGACCGAAAGTGAGCCATCGGCTGCTGCAAGTTGCGATACCAAGTGCGGTGGATTCGGCGAGCAGCTGACGCGAATGAAAATCACTCTCATCTCATACCATTTAACTTTCCTCGATGAAAAATAAAAAAGCGTACAAGTTTGTGACATTAAAATATATCGCGTTAAATTTCTACCGCACGTAACAATAAATATATAAAATTAATTATTGTGTGTTTGTCCACCAATTTTGTCGCCATGTTCAAAGGATGATTATAAAGAGATATATACTCGGTACTCACGAAATTTCTTGAGTGAGGCTGACTATCTTCGTATTGAGCGCCGCGACGTGTTTGCCTGTTTTCCAGTGCCACACGATTATACGAAAATCGGGGAAAGTGGTTAAACTCACGAGATACTCCGTGCCAGCGAAGTAACAGAATAAGTAACCATTTATCTTGTCAGGTAGTACGCATCTGGAAATCCTTTGTAGCGTCGGGTATATAAATATCGAAATCTTGGGATTAGGTTTCCTCTCGACTACGGAAAACATGGAAACTATCTGTGACATTCAAAATAACGATGCTGTCAAATCATATCTATCGGATACGGCTATAGTATTCGGTGTGCTTCTTGGATATTAAATAACACCGATAAAGATGGAAGATTGATAAAATAAATAAAATGAAATAAACGTATAAGTAAAATAAAACAATGATGAACAAATAAAATGAAATGAATGAATAAAAACGAATAATTTCGGAGCAGTAATTAAAATAATAAATAAATAATTATATTATATACTATATATATACACACCATGGTATATATAATATATATTAAATAATATCAATAGAGATATAAAATATTAATAAAATACATATGCGAAACAAAGCACATATGTGTAAGGTAAAACAAGTAGAATAAATACATAAAAATGAATAGTTTGGAAGCAATAATTAAATAAGTAAATAAATGACTAGATAAGTAAATATTTTTATACTATACGGAAACATACGGGATGTCCAGCTAAGCACGACGCGCCGTCGCCCCTTTCCTCGGAATCGAAGCGCTCGATCCGCCTTTCTCTCGTGTTTAGATTCAAAAAACTCACATAAATGCCGGAGGTTGTTGCGACAGTCTCTTTTCCAACGAAGACGAAGTCGTGAGACTTCCCGAGCTTTACCCACCTGCGATACAATTGACGAATGATAACGGAGCGCGTTCCACTCGCCGGACTTTACCGCAAAGGAAGAAACGCACTTGGTCTCGCTGATCGAAAAGTTCATTTCGTTACGTTCTCCAACGTCCAGTTGTATTCTCAATGAGAATCCCTCGTGTGTGTCGTTTGCACTATCGCGAATGAAGCTTCGCTTCCGTCCCCTAAGCAAATTTTACTTGAGCAACCGCCGTGTTTGGTTGCTTAGAGACTTAGCCAGCTTGCTTTATCGATCCTGCTGGCCGTAACATAATTCCCGACTGTGCTTGATTTCAATCTTCTCGGACACATTCGTAATGCGCCATCGGCCGTTTCTGTCGCACGCTTACATAATACAATTTTACAATTTATGTTTCATTTATTTTATTAATATTTCATATCTCTATTGATTACGTACCGCTACAAATATTCACCAGAATACTGAATTTTTCAGCGTAACAATTCATCGCGTGAAAATTTGCGCTTCATCGTCATTAATCTTTGGAGATTTTAATGGGACTTTAATTTACGTTTTCTAATAAATTAGGTAGAGAATTCGACGGGCGATACTCTTCTCGTTTCTGTAACAGCGTTCCACGCGGCGAAGAAATAAATACATACACGGACGTTCAGCGAGCGAGACATTTGCATACTTCCCCGGAAGATAATAGAATCGCTGAAAGAATGTCGCTAATGTGGTTAAAAGTGTGCCACAAAAGTGTGCTGGATCAAAGAATTGTAGGAGGCCCGAAGGATAGTGACACCGTTATCGGATGCATCGTTCGGCACATAATAATGGGCCCACGCCCCTCCGAGCCTTTGCAATAAATGCTCTCAACAATTTTACGATGCAAATATGCAGATGCGAAGATATATCTTCGTTGAACGCGCGAGGCGTACCTTCGGCGAATGTTTTGGATGGATGTCATTCGCTAAAAGCGATTTCATCGGTTTAAAACGATTGAAACGTGATTAAAGTTTTAACAATGAAGCTGTACGGTAAATGTACAACGGCGAGACAACAAATAGCGCCGAATTAATTTCTCATGAATAATATGTATCACAATGCTGCTTTTCTACTTAAACGAGCCATTTAAACACACAGTATTAAAGTTTAATATTAATTATATTAATAATCCAATATTGGTAATATTAAATTATATACTAATAAATTGCGAAAAGCACAAAATATGATGGCAACAAGAATATAACCGCTCAGTTATTTCTGCGTTATGATGCAAAGTTTCACGAATCCTCTTGGACTCGATCCCTTAAAGCTTTCCGTTCCCAAAAATTTTGGCACATGACGGCGACGTGTCATGTCATTGTCTGACGATTGAGAAGGCAATGTCGAAGAGGCACGCTGTAATAGTAACCCAATAACGCGATTCTCGTGCCCCTTCCGGATGCGCACAGCATATATATGGACGAAGCGAAGGCGACGATTTTTTATTCACGAACGTTGATCGAGGTGAACGTCTGCCAAGAGAATGACGAGCATTTCGTGAGTTCGTCATTCGCTAGAACGAACTTGAACGGGCGAACGGATTTTTGTGCCGTCGTCGATCAGTGCGCGAGGGTGACGATCCGCGGGTGAACACATTTATGGAGCAGAGATTTCCGAGATCGAGTCCTTGGATGACAAACTTGAGCCCTCCGCGAAGAGAAGCCGGAAGAATCGGCATCGCTCGAAGCATCGCACCCGCGCTGTTGGCTGTGTCGAGAAGTGGGAACTCATTTTCTTGAGAAGAATGAATCGAGATATGGAGGTATTTACCAAAGGGGGGCGGGGGAGGGGTTGCGTTAATCGTAATTTTTTCGTCTGTTCGCAAAGCCGGAAGCTTGAGAGAAAATCGTTATTACCTTTCACTTATCAGTTTCACATCAGTACTGTTGTCTCATGTAGAAAAAACGTTGCTGACGATTTGTCGAATAATAACCAGAGAGGTAGAAACAAATAATGTCGACGTGAAGTGAAGCCATTTTATCGCGAGGATTCGCCGCAAAATTACGAATCACTGCAAGCTGCTTTACACCCACGAATTAGGGTCGCAGTCGAGATGACCGATAAACCGCTAAAAGGGAGCGATGCCCGCTACTCGTTTAGTATGCGCAGGCGGTTGCTCGCATTTCGTATTCAAGAGGGACCTTCCGCACTCATCCAGAAGGCGCCTCGCATCGTGCCACTCGAGCGTGCTACTCGTCCGTCTCTTGTGTTCCTCTTTTTCTTTTTCTTTAATTGAAATAATACACTTTCGTCAAGATGCCATTCATGGGCTGCCGGAGAGTTCGCGTTTCCCAACACCTTGCAACAACTCGCGCGCCTTCTGAAATCCGACGGAATTGCTGATGTAACACGTCCCCTTCGCGTCTGCTCTTCCCGCAGATCAAGATGACGTCCCATTACCAAGCTCGAGAACACCGGCTCGGCTGGATCCTGAAGACCCTCCTCCTCATCTGCTTCGCTTTGGTCTCCAGCCACGAAGGGGTGCCTTTGAACCATCAGAGCACACCGGACGCGTCCACCCTGAAGATAGAGGCCCGAGAGTCGGAGGCGTCGATAACCCTGGGAAAGGAGCTCATGCTCGGCCCATCGTCGTCGCCGACCAACGCGGCGTTCCTCACCAACGACTCCAACGACGTCGCGACGACGAGGACCGATCCGCTCGTGACCTCCACAGTCGTCGACCAGGTGTTTGCCGACGGACTCAGTGGGAACTTCGTCCAGAAACCCGCGGCCAAGAGTCCTCGATGGTCTTCACTCGTCCCTGATAGCCGTCACTGGACGAGCACGACAGGCTCGAAGGCTGTCTGGAAGAAGGACAGTTATCTCGAGGCACTAAGACACTCTCGCGGTGACCCGCGAGAAGCTGTCGCACGGGTGGACTCGAAGACGAAGGCGAATAGAAGGGAATACGTGCCGGGGCCCGTTTACAAACCGGACCCGGCCTACGGCCCGTCCGAGTCCGCGTACCCGTCCAAGGGCTCGCAAGTCGCCTACGGCACCATGGGCGTCCCTTCGTCCGCCATTAATGCCTACCCGCAGTCCTTCAGGCCGTCGATGCTGGAGTCGAACGATCACTACGGTCCACCGCACAACCCACCGAGCTCCTCGTTCTACCCGCAGAGCTCGTACGGCCCGCCCGAGAATTCGTACCCGCCGCCACAACAAGGTGAGGAGCTTCCTCGTGGACTCCCTCGCGAATGTCCTCGGCGAGAACTTCTTCGGCTTTGTCGAGATCTCCCGGTGCTGCCCGATCGCTCGGTTTCGTCACTTCCTCGCTTCGTGTTTGCAGCTTACGGCGCTTCCATACACTCCTCGCCGCCGTCTCCGGTATACGGGGCACCTTACGCGCTGCCGGATGTGTCTCATATCTCCATCTTGCCGACCTTCGACCTGGGCTGGCCGATTGCCTTGAAACTGAACGCCTTCACTATCGCGAAGATCATACTGAAGCTGGTAATCTTCAAGATGATTGTGAAATTCATCGCGGCGATTTGCCTGCTGCTCTTCATACCCAAGCTGGAGATCATCAAGAAGAAGGGCAACAAGCACGAGGACGATGAAGAGCGAGGCTTGTCGTCGCGTGAGTTCTTCATCTTCGAAGTTGTCGCTTTGACGGTTATTGCGAGCTGTTGCGGTCAGGTTTTTGCAAAAATACGCTGTGCGAGGGCGGAAATGTTTGGTTGCTTTTCTCTAGCCGCCCGCCGTTGCTTTTCAATAACGATGTTCTGTGCTTTTCAGCTTACGCCACCTCGGAAACACTGAACGATCTCGAATCCATCATACGGAGCTCCGTCGAGAAATACGAGGCGCTTAACGACGCCGCTTCCAGCTCGACATCGACGCAGAAATGCACGACACCCGGCTGCCGCGTCGCTGAAGCTTTTACGTTCCGCGAATCTTGGGACGACTACTTGAATTTATTCAAGAGCTACGTGGAAGAAGAGAGGCGGCTCGCGAAGAGAAAAGAGCAGTGAGAAACTTGTCGCTGTCGTTGTCGTCGGGTTCCATTCTCGTCGTCGCCGTCCTCATCTCGTCTCTCTCGTCTCTCTCTCTCTCTCTCTCTCTCTCTCTCTCTCTCTCTCTCTCTCTCGGCCTATAATTATTTATTTATTAAATTTCATGATAATTAACTTCATTAATACATTTTATTATTCATCCATTTGGCTTCAAATTCTGATTGTGCGCGCTCGAGGAGAGGCCGAATCAAGAGAGTGTCTCTCTCGAACGTGAGAAATACTTTAGGAAAAGCTGCGATAGCGAAGCTGTGCCGGATGCATCTCGCGATTATCATCCGAGTCATCCGAGATGTCCCGATTAGAGTATAGATTACAGCGATGAATCTCTTCTTGCGGATACGCGTCTGATTATTCGGCCGTCGTTACGTATTAGCAAAGTGCGCGCGAGCGAGCTGGAAAATAAATAAATTTTTGGTCATTTCCTCATTTCCTGCTGGCTCCAACAGGATGTCGCACACGCAATGTTTGTTTATTATGTTTCTCCTAACGAGCGTGATTTGGAGTCACGGATGTGTCATCTCCTAATCGGGAGTAAAGAAACACCGAAAAGCCTGCGCGTGTCCTGATCCTGTTGCCTTCAAATCTGTCCGAGGATCTGTTCATTTTAGCTGCACTGCTGAACTGGTGCAATAAGTTAGAGCGAAAAGAAATATAGCTGTCTTACTCTAACTTATTGCACTAGTTCAGCAGTGCAGCTAAGAAGAACAGACCACGGGTTTATCCTTAATTTTTCGCGTAGTTTTTCAAGTATATACGCGTAGCCTGATTACGACAAAATGCGACCGTTTGCGACGTCGCTCCGTTTCGACGAGCGTTTTTATCGGTGACAATCGAAAGCCACTTGATTAATTCGTCGACGATTATCGGTTTATGGCGAGTGCGTGTTGTTAGTGCGGAACGATTGGAAGTGCGAATGTCAATGTAAAATATAATATATTTAGAGTGTTCGGTTTTACAAAATTTATGTACGCTTAGACGCTTGTACAGCTTCGGCTCGACCGCGACTCTCACTCTCGACTGCTTTGTTCACGCTCCTTTTATCTTTTGTGGAAATCGAAGAAAAACTGACTACCGCATACGCGTTCGATTGCCTTACGCCGCTTGCTGCCGTCGTGATTTTCAAACTTAGGGATGCCGATTTTTTTTTTCAAACAGATCGATCTAACGATCGATTCGAATCACGAAGAAAAAAATCGATCTTTAAAAAATCGGTTTGTAAAAAGTTGATTTCAGAAAATCGATCTGAATCGGTATGCATGTAAAGTGAACCATTCATTAAAGTATACTATCTATCAAATTTCTACACTCTAAAGTAGACCTCGTGTAATTTATATAAAGTTTAATATGAATTAAAGAAATTAAACAGATGATACTCTTTTGGTTGTGTCGTGTGCGGCCACAACAAGACAGAAAAAGATCTTTGAATCTTTATGCTAGGAATTTAATTAGTTTGATTAAGCATCAATCAAGAGTTTTTAAACGTTATTAAATAAGAAATCACGTTTACTATTATATGCATATACATATATATATATGTATGTATATATATATATATATATATATATATATATATATAATATATACTATTATATAGAGTGGCTGTGATTGATTCGCGCGTTCCGTTCCACTGAAAATTTTCGCTCATGGGACATCGTTGCCTAAAGGCAACGTAATGTGCATCGTGCAGCCATTAAGTGAGTCCAAATATTACAACTAAAAAGAATAAAAATAAAACTATATTATTAGTAGAAACTGGTAAAATCGTGTTGGCGATTTTCAGAATTTACAGATCGATTCTTGAATCGCTTCAGTCCCAGAAAATCGATTTGAAATCGATCTTTTAGGCTCCGATCGATCGTCAATTAAATCGATTTAAAATCGGCATCTCGGCATTTCAAACGCGCGTTGTTGCTATCGCGTTGCGCATCGCCGCTACATCACGCTGCGCGTCGCCGCTACAGGTTCATCCAGCTAGCGGTGCGAAACGAAGCACGATTGCTTCGATTCGAAGACGCGTAAACCCTATAGAAATGGCGTAATAATCAACATTATCGATTCGACGCACATGAGAGTTCCTCGCAGGTGGGGATGAATTTTATCGCTACGCTCAGTTATAAAGGTACCATAGTGATATGATATGTCAGTCCTCTGTTGACGGTTGTCCATTCACAGTGGAAATTGAAGTTGACTTTCATACGCGCCAACGATCGATCAGAACAATGCAGGTGGAAATTATAATAGGTGCGAAAACTCTGCGCATCGGCGATTGTTCGAGGTTTAATAACGCGACAATCGGTCCGCTTTCCATGTTTTTGTGCTTTTATGCTTTCGTTTTCAATCATCAATTGGTCTCGCACGCTCTACAAAATGATTATTATTTATAATTCCTCCTTTTTTCAATCATCGAATTCGTTCGTATAAGCAACTAAAAGCTTGATGAAATTGCCGACTTGGCTCGGAAAATTTGTACTTTCGTCGACTGATTGTTGAGTTCAGCTGTCTCTACATTTGTGCGTGTCCAAAAGTGAGAACGGTAAAACATGGTGCGAGATAATTTTGAAAAAAGTATAAATTTCTGATTATAATTATTGATACGCACGTATGCATGTAGTTTAAAGCATACGCAATTAGAAAAGTAATTACAAGCATGTCGCGCGCGTAATAATATCGCGCGTAAGAATATCATTTGGTATCTACAATTTATTAGTCGATTAACGTGTCATTTTGCTTTCCACCTAAGAAAAGATTTTTAATCAAGAATTTCTAATCAATTATACGCTTCAGTCATAAAAAGTTTCGAAAGATTACAAAGCCTCGGTATCATTACGGGAATAATTCGCATCCTTCGTGGATTGATTGCATTGATTCAGATCGATGCTGATCGATCTCGGCTGATATCACGGAGTCGCATGAGCTTCTTTTTTAAATTAATTACTACTCTCAAGTAATTAATTACTTTAAATTAATTACTTGAGATAATCTAAGCGAGAATTATCATTTGCGACCATCTACGCAAAAACGTCATTTACTCCCGAAATGACGAAGGAAAAATTTGACCGGCTAAGAATCGAGGGAAGTATCTTAAAATGGGCATGGGCGTAAGTGGCCTTGAGTGAAGAAGCGTCGCAATCGTCGGGAGCGTGCCGATCTTGATTCGGAATAAACCTTGATTTCAATAAAGCTGCAATCATCTAATAGAGACGCATATTAAGGCCGCGCAGCGTTCTAACGAGGTACTAAGCCACCTTCAATGGATTTACGTAATAAACGTAAAGTTACCGTTCTCTCTCGTGGAGTCTAGCGACACGCGAAAGCTTTCGAAAATTATATCGACTGCACGAAATTACTCGATGCCAATCTGCGATCAGAGACGATTGTGATGTCACGATCGTTAGAGAATTATCGGCTGTTACGTTCCGCGCAAACAATGTTGCAGCTGAAGATGAAGTGCGATCTTTTCCCCCGTTGTTTCGGGAGAAGAGAAATTTTATCGCATTTTTATTTTTCCATCCTGTGTCTTGAATATTTACAAGTCGAGAGAGAGAGAGAGAGAGAGAGAGAGAGAGAGAGAGAGAGAGAGGTTGAACCAGCTTAAATCTCCTGTACTGTTCTTTGAACCTTTCCCAGCGATGGCGTTCCTCAGCATATTCACGTTTTGCGAAGAGGGATACGTTTTCCCTGATGACACGAAAGCGACCATGAAGGAAACAAAGAAGCCTAAGGAAATTAAAAAAGCAGCGATCGCGTCGAAGAACGTAAAGGGTGCCGTCAAGGCTGCCAAGAAGGCGAAGAAGAATAAGAAGGACTGCACTAGGAAATGCGGGGACGATCTCGCTTGCGTTCACGATCCCGCGGATGCTAATTTCAAGCTAAAGACCTTCGGCACGCAGCGCACTCTGGACGTTCTCAACTGCAAGATAGAAACAAGTAAGTAAAGCGGAGATAGAATCGGAGATAGGCAGATATAGAATTACCGTGATAATTCAGACCTGCGTCTAACGAAAGCCTTGATAAACACAACTACATTGATTGCGTTACTGATCGCTAATCATATTCTCACATCGCAGAACTGACCGTGAAGAACAAAGGAGAGTGTCCCGGATCCGGCGGAATGTTCTGAACGAGTGTCGGCCGGCCAATCCATCGTGAAGCGAAGCGTAGACTAGCAAATGTCCAAGCAAAATCGTGTTTTGTCTGGACATTTGTTATCCTACGCCGGGTTTTAAACCATTGTCGCGAATTTCCGTTTAGTCCATTGCAGTTCCCTCGACGCGCTATTGCGTTTTTCTCTAATGGAACTCCATAAATTTTCGATTGGGTTAAGGTCCGGACTTTGTGGAGGCCATTGAAAAATTTCTATTTTATAATTCTGGAAAAATTGTTTCGTTTTTTACTGTGTGCTTCGGATCGTTGTCTTGCTGAAACATTCATTTCTTATCGAGATCCATTTTTAGAATTGATTCTTCTAAGTTTTCATTTAAAATGTCAATATATTTATCAGTAACATCATTATTGCACCTTTTCCACACTTGACTGTTGTTACAACATATTGCTTCTTTAGAGCTTCATTCGGTTTCCTCCATATGCTGTGCTTTCTTTTCTTATTCAATAATTCAAATTTACTTTCATTGCTCCATATTATTCGTTTTCAAAATGATAATGGCTTATTTACATATCTTTTTTTGCAAAATCTAAACGTTTCTTTTTATGCACTTTATTAATTATGGTTTACGTCTACTTACACAACTCTTCAAACCCACCTCTTTTAATCTTCGTCTCACAGTTCTTGAAGATATGTTTAATTGTAGTTGTTTCAATGACGTTGTCGATGAGTTACGTTAAGCTTCTCTCATGATTCTTCCGTCCATGACTGTAAATATATACGAGAACATCAAGTAACACAACGCCGCACGACGAGAGCTCCGACGATAACTGATTGCACGTCAAACTTGCATTGAGACTCTCTTGCATTGAGTATCGTATACGCTGTATACGATACTCAATGTAAGAAGCGACAAGAATGTATCTCTCTAATAAATATTAACAATGAGCAACCATTTTGATCCTGTTTGTCATGATCACTACCTACCTCGCCGCGACACAACTGATGTTTGAATGTTTTATGTCAGTCTTGATGCTAAATATTGTACTAACATGCGACCGTCTCACGCGTACCGTTTCGCGTTCGCGAAATGAATTTGGGCAAGACTTTTTAAGAAAAGAAAGAACTTTTCTTCACTTTAAATATGTACAGACTCTCATTTATTAACGAATTTTCTCCTCTAATAATAATGAAGAATAGCGTTTTATGTCACGTCAACTCGCGACGAAGACTCGTGACTCTCTCAGCTGTTGTTGTTGTTTTTCTTGACGATTTTCCGTCGTCCAGACAATCATCCTTCAGTTGTCAAAACTGATACCAGATGCCCAAGATTCGCGGACAATGGACACTGCCACGAACCTTGTGGTTCGGACAAAACAATATGTATCTGCAAATATGTATGCAAATTCGATCTGGCTTTCTAATCGTGCATGCGAATTCTCTTGTGAGAGGAAACCGAAAGGTCTTACAGAATAGATTCGGGATACAATTGATGCGATTCATGCGATCAAAGCAGTCGTGCTTCGTTTCGAACGAAGCTAACTGGATGAATCGATAATCGCCGAAACGAATTAATCAGGTAACTTTCGATTGTCACCGACAAGAACGCTCGTCGAAACGGAACGACGCTGCGAGCGATCGCATTTTGCCGAAATCAAGTGATGACGCGTATACTTGAAAAACTACGCGGAAAATTAAGGACAAACCCGGACGAATTTGAAGACAACAGGATCAGGACACGCGGGCAGGCCGGTCAGTATTCATTTTCATTTCGAGACGCTTTCGACTCGCTTGGAGACTCGCGGACGTGTCATCTTCTAATCGGGAGTAAAGAAACGCCGAAGAGTCTGTCCGGGTTATCCTTAATTTTCTGCGTAGTTTTTCAAGTATACGCGTCATCACTTGATTTCGACAAAATGCGATCGCTCGCAGTGTCGCTCCGTTTCGACGAGCGTTCTTGTCGGTGACAATCGAAAGCTACCTGATTAATTCGTTGGCGATTATCGATTCATCCAGTTAGCTTCGTTCGAAACGAAGCACGACTGCTTCAATGAGACGCGTGGACCCCATAGAAATTGCGCGCTATATTTAGCATAATTAACCCGACGCACATGATACGGACGTAATGCGTTGTACAAGTTCCCTGCAGGTGGGGATGAATTTTATCGCTACGCTCGGTTATAAACGTAGCATGGTGATACAATATGTCAGTCCTCTGTTGACGGCTCTCCATTCACCGTGCCTGGAAATTGAAGCTGACTTTCATACGCGCCAACGATCAGTCGGAACAATGGAGGTGGCAATTATAGTAGGTACGAAAACTCTGCATCGGCGATTGTTCGAGATTTAATAACGCGACAATCGGCCCGTTTTCTATTTCTTCGTGTTTTTATGCGCTTTCGTTTCATCAACCGGTCTTACACGCTCTACAGAACGATTATTATTTATAGCCCCTCTTTTTTTTTTTCAATTCAATCGAATTCGTTTATATAAGCAGCTAAAAGCTTGACGAAATTACCGATTGGCTCGGAAAATTTGTACTTTTCGTTGATTGATTGTTGAGTTCAGCCGCCTCTATATTTGTGTGCGTCCAAAAATGAGAACGGTAAAAAGACATCGTGCGAGATAATTTTGAAAAAAGTATAAATTTCTGATTATAATTATTGATACGCACGTGTACGTGTAGTTTAAAGCATACACAATTAGAAAAATAATTACAAGCACGTCGCGCGCGTAATAGAATATCATTTAGTATCTGCAATTTATTAGCCGATTAACGTGTCATTTTGCTTTCGCACGATTCTCCTTAGAGTTTACCAAAGAAAAGATTCTTAATCAAGAATTTCTAATCAGTTGTACGCTTGAGTCATAAAAATTTCGAAAGATTACAAAGTGCCTCGGTGTCATTACGGGAATAATTCGCATTCTTCGTGAATCGATTGCGTCGATTTAGAGTTTGCCTCGATCTCGGCTGATATCACGTCACAGAATCGCACGAGCTTTTTTTCAAAGTTAATTACTTGCGATAATTTAGCGATAAGCGAGAATCATCGTTTACGATCGTTTACGATCATCTACGCAAAAACGTCATTTACTTCCAAAATGGCGAAGGAAAAATCAGACCGGTTAAAAATCGAGAGAAGTATCTTGAAATGGGCGTGGGCGTAAGTGGCCTTGAGTGAAGAAGCGTCGCAATCGTCGGGTGCCGATCTCGATTCGGAATAAACTTTGATTTCAACAAAGCTGCAATCATCCAATAGAGACGCGTATTAAGGCCGCGCAACAGCTTCCTAACGAGGTACTCTAAGCCACCTTCAATGGATTTACGTAATACCATTCTCTCTCTCTCTCTCTCTCTCTCTCTCTCTCTCTCTCTCTCGTAGAACCGCAGCGACACGCGTAAGCTTACGAAAATTACGTCGACTGCTCGAAATTACTCGATACCAATCTACGATCAGGGACGATTGTGATGTTACGATCGTTAGAGAATTATCGGCAGCTCTAGTGTTCCGCGCAAACAATGTTGCAGCTGAAGACGGAGCGCGATCTTCTCTCCCGTTGTTTCGGGAGAAGAGAAATTTTAACGCACTTTTATTTTTCCACTTTGTGTCTTGAATATTACGAGTCGAGAGATTGAACCATCTCTAATCTCCTATATTGTTCTTTGAACCTTCCCCAGCGATGGCGTTCCTCAGCATGTTCACATTTTGCGAAGAAGGTTACGCTCTCCCTGACGACGCGAAGGCGACCACCATGAAGGAAATAAAGGAGCCCAAGGAGATCAAAGAAGCAGCGACCGCGTCGAAGGACGTAAAGGATGCCATCAAGGCTGCCAAGGAGGCGAAGAAGAGTAAGAAGGACTGCGCTAGGGAATGCGGCGACTTTTACGATCCTGTCTGCGCTCACGATCCCGCGGACGCCAATTTCAAGCCGAGGACCTTCGGCACGCAGTGCGCTCTGGACGTTCACAACTGCGAGATGGGAACAAGTGAGTAAAGCGGGGATAGAATCGGAGATAGACAGATAGAATTGCCGTGATAATTCAGACCTGCGTCTAACGGATAAGCACTTTACATTGACTTTACATTGATGTTACTGATCGCTAATCATACTCTCGCATTGCAGAACTGACCGTGAAGAGCAAAGGAGAGTGCCCCGGATCCGGCGGAGTGAGATTGTCCTGAAGGATCGTCGGTCGTCGATTCGGCAGATCCATCGCGAAACGAAGCGTAGAATAGCAAACGTCCAGGCAAAACCGTGTTTTAGGCCGTTGTCGCGAATTTCCGTTTAGTCCGCAGCAGCTCTCTCGAATCGCGCTGCGAATCTTCCTCCGCATACACGTATAAATATGTACGAGAACGTCAAGTAACACAACCGCGCCGCGCGACGAGAGACCCGCTCCGACGATAACCGATTGCACGCCAAACTATACGCTGTATACGATACTCAATGCAAGAAGAGGCAAGAATGTATCTGTCTAATAAATATTAACAATGAGCAACCATTGATCCTGTTTGGCATGATCACTACCTTACCTCGCCGCGACTGGTGTTCGCCTCGGATGATTTATGTCAGTCTTGATGATGCTAAATATGTATCTGTGCAAATTCGATCTGGCTTTCTAATCGTGGACGCGATTTCTCTCGCGAAAGAAAAACCGAAAGGTCTTGCAGAATGGACTTTTGGAATACAATTGATGCGATTCTCAAAGCAGGCCGGTCGGTACTTTTCATTTCGAGACGCTTTCGCCTTGCGCTCTTGTTTTTTCCGCACAATTTTCGTTTTGTATTATCTCATTATATATCTCGTGGAAAGGATATTTCGGGAAAATTTCGGCCGTCCGAATACACGCTTTCAAGTTGCAAATAATAATGCAAAAGTTTTGCTGAGGTTTGCACGACGATGAATTAAATCCTTCCTGCTAATCGATTATACAAATCGATGCGAAGACAACTCAGTTCCACGCATACGTCACTATCGTTGGATCGATAGTTACTTTAAAATTCTGACTAACCACATCGTTTTTAACTACGTTATTTATGGCTGCGAATTAATGCAGAAAGCGAGAACGTGTCCAAAGGAAAAAATGAGGTTTCGTCAACTTGACGTAATAGAGATAAAGCTCTTCCATCATCAACATAATGGAAATTCCGAATTTCCGTTATCGACAAATGGAAATTCAATTTCCATCATGTATATGTAATGTAAGTTATAAACGTTCATTAATAAACGTTCATTATGTATAAACAATAAAAAAATTTGTTAAATTATTAGCTGCCTCAATTACTCCTACTACTCATCCTCATCAAAATACTACTCATCAAAATAAAGTCTCGTTAATTCTCTTTACTGACGCATGCGCGAAACGCATGTGTCAAGCTGTCAAAATGTCAGCTTTCTTTCCACACTAGGAAAAATGTATTGTTGCGTGAAACAAAATTTTGTTGTAACAACAAAATAATTTGGTTAAAATATGCCCAACGAAACCGTTTAGTTCCTGTAAACAAATATCTTGTTTGATTACGTTTTGTTCGTATAACGTAATACTTTTGTTATAGCAATCAAGAAGCTTTAACTGTATGAATTTTGTTAAAAATATTATAAGTTTTTCTTAATATATAAAATCTAAATTTGTATCTAAATTTGTAAAAAGTGTACAGAAAGACAAAATAGTATCCATTGGGCATTATTTTAGTTGTGTAAAATAATATTTCGTTATTATGTAATTTTTATAGATAAAATAACTAAAATGCTTAATTTTTATATATGAAATTATATAAAATATTATATATGAAATCTAAGAACAAAATCATTTGGTCCAGAGAAACAAAGCAGAAAAATATATTTAGTTGAGACAACTAAATATTTTGTTAATAAAACAAGATATTTGGGTATTAAAAAATGCTTCAACTAAACAGTGTTAAGATTAAATTTTAGTTTTTTCATTGTTTACTTATCGCACAGCTGAGTGTGCGCGCTCACCGATAAGCGTCTCGTTTTGCATAATACAATTCTACCGCTTCTTCGCAACCTGCAATATCACACTTAACCGAGTGATGTCGACACGCTCCGGACGAATAATGGTTACCGATTGATAAACAAATGCAAGAGTTTCCAACTCGTCTCCTAGATGGTCCTGAATCTCGAGGAAGGCTGGCGAATTTGAATCGCAACCGAGGAACCGATCAAATTCTACCGTGTACGTGATGTACTCCCAAAGTGCGTCTCGCTTCTTCCGGAAAATTCCACCGGGTCACGCAGGGTAAAAGGGGACAACAAAGAAGCTGTAATTTTATGCGCGCGACGCTCTTCGTGCGCAACATTGTTCGACGCCGCTTCGCCGAGCGATGTGCATGCAAGCCCGGCAGCGTGTGTGAAAGGTCGCGACGTGTATTCGTAAACTGCGCGCGCGGGGCCATTGTCCGTCAATCTTGCTTGTGTAACGAGTTTACCTTTGAAATTAATGTCCAAGATAATGAGGATGCGAGCGAGAGAGTGCGATGAAGGACGGCGGCGGCGGCGGCGGTGGCGGCCGGCCGGCCGGCGGGCCGGCCGCGATTCGCATTCTCAGTCCGGCGCACTTTGCCCTACCTACGATGTGCCATCTGACCCGACTCGCCCGTGACACGATCGACTTGTCCTCGATGATCTGCTGCCTGATTGTCCTCGTTTCGTTGTGCGAGACGAAAATGTGCTCTCGGATCACACATGCCTGCACGACCGCGAACACGGCTATTGTTTCCGCAGGTAAGCGATATATCGCGATACAACTCAACTTTTTCTCTCTCTCTCTCTCTCTCTCTCTCTGTCTCTCTCTCTGTCTCTCTCTGTCTCTCTCTGTCTCTCTCTGTCTCTCTCTGTCTCTCTCTGTCTCTCTCTGTCTCTCTCTGTCTCTCTCTGTCTCTCTCTGTCTCTCTCTGTCTCTCTCTGTCTCTCTCTGTCTCTCTCTGTCTCTCTCTGTCTCTCTCTGTCTCTCTCTGTCTCTCTCTGTCTCTCTCTGTCTCTCTCTGTCTCTCTCTGTCTCTCTCTGTCTCTCTCTGTCTCTCTCTGTCTCCCTCTGTCTCCCTCTGTCTCCCTCTGTCTCCCTCTGTCTCCCTCTGTCTCTCTCTGTCTCTCTCTGTCTCTCTCTGTCTCTCTCTGTCTCTCTCTGTCTCTCTCTTTCTTCTGTCTCTCTCTGTTCTCTCTGTCTCTCTCTGTCTCTCTCTGTCTCTCTCTGTCTCTCTCTTTTCTCTTTTTTCTCTCTCTCTCTCTCTGTCTCTCTCTCTCTCTCTCTCTCTCTCTCTCTCTCTCTCTCTCTCTCTCTCTCTCTCTCTGGGATCCGCTTTATTTTCCGAGGGGTTTCGTGCGCGGAGAAAACGTTGCAGTAAAAATGGAAAACGTCTTTGTCATCTTAGATCGTACGCGAGTATGCTTGAAATTATTATATACTTGTTTAAAAATATTACGCATGTTCGGCTTCTCCTGCTCTACACAATATTTTAGTAATATTTTAATATTTTATTGTACAACAATGACAAATAATAATAAAAAACATGAACAATGGTAATAATTACTATATTACAATACAATATAATATAATATATTATAATATAATATGTTGCAATATGAAATATTACAATATAAAATATATTACAATATAAAATATTGTATGTTAATAATTATTTGAATGTTTTGTTTTGGTTTTTCTTAATTGTTTATATAGTATCAGCCCAGCTTTACGGAAGGTATTGTAAAAGAGAATATAATTTTAGTTTTTACCACAATATTTTCTCCGTTCACATGCTAGTGCGAGATTAAGTTTTGAACATATATTGCGGGACATATATAATAATAATAATAATAATAATAATAATAATAATAATAATCTTTATTCCCGGGAATACCTTTTGATGTACATGTTAAAAAAAATCATTATCGCGGACGGGCAAACGAAATAAAAAGAAATAAATGAAATGAAAATTAATATATACCAAAATACATATCAAATATAATACATACCAAAAGTTTGAAATATCAGTCACAATAGAAAATGCTTGAGAGCGAGTAGCGTTTCGGGAGAGAAATCCACAGGGGCGGATAATAAATTCGCCATCATACATGATCCTTTACGCCGCGCAATATTCAATGCGCTGTCCTACATGGAAGAAAGAGCGAGCGCCGTCTTAACAGTCTCGGCGGAACGTTGAGTTTTATCGGTCCCGATAAGAGCAACGTAACCCCCCAACGGGATTGAAAGGCTTGAGAGACTCAGGCTCCTCGCTGTACGGCGAGCGTGATCCCGAGGCTCCTTCGAGACGTGAACCTGAGGTGGATTCCTCGTGCGAGCGCAGGTGATGAAGCGGAACGTTCACCGCCGGCGTCGATGTCCGTGTTCGCGGAGATGGAGAACCGGCTGTCGAGCCTCGAGCGGAGGCTGCGAGCAGTCGAGCAGCCGGGTAAGACCACTGTCTCGTGATTAGCGGCGCGAAAACGCTCGGAAGCGCACTCATGCTGTCGCAGTTTGGCAGATCAGCCCGAGGGAGGAGGACTGGGAGGTGTGCGCCGAAGGACCGTGCAAGTGTGTGCCGGAGATGAAGTCGGTGTCCTGCTGGAGACACGGCCTGCTGGACCTTCCGTCGTTGCAACTGGTGCCCGCCGACGTGCTGAGACTGTAAGCGATTCGAGAGAGAGAGAGAGAGAGAGAGAGAGAGAGAGAAATGTCGGAGAAATTGGCCGATTATCGAGTGCACATGCTCGGCACGTGTCGTTGAGCTTCAAAGTCAACGGCGGTCAGGTACGTTTCTGAACTTGACTCTACCGCAAAGGCGATTCGTCGATCAAACGGGCACTTTCCACTATTCTTCATAAAACTGGACCATGTGTACCGAAGTGCAATCGTTTGGCCGAGCTTGCGCGCGACTTGGGCAATTTCTCTCTCGAAGTTGCGCACTTAATAGCACTCGCGAGGTAAAAGTCATCCGCTAGACCTGCCGTTTCAGGGACCTCGGGGGTAACCGGCTCAGCGCTCTGCACAGAGACACGTTCAGGAACATGACGCGGTTGCACCACCTGTAAGTGGAGGCTGTACCGCGAAGGCGAAGGCGCGTTAGATTCTAATGAGATTTACTACAAATCGCAGAGACCTGAGCAGCAACCTGCTCGAGCACCTGTCGCCGAATCTGTTGTCTCCTCTGCATGGTGTCGCGAATGTCCGGCTGAGCGACAATCTCCTGAAAGAAATCCAGCGCAATCAATTCCTTGGCCTGAGGAACCTGCGAATACTGTATGTGAGGCAAAAATTACCGCTGATTAGCGGGGCTACAGTCATATCGCGAAAATCAAGAAAGTCCGGCTTGACGTTTCCGTTGAATCTGATTTTTTTTTTATGTATGTATGTAACATACCAAACTCAAATTATTTTTTTCTCAAGATATATATGTGTGAAACGGCATATGTGTGCAGCCGCGTCAAAGTTTTTTGCATTAAATTGTTTTCTATTGCATTGTTATGATAACTAATTTATTATAATAACAAGTAAAATAACCATAAAACTCAGTGTTCTAGTAAATAATAAAGACACTGTTTTTGAAGTACTGGACTGTGTATCATTGGAAGTTTTCGATAGATTTATCTTCAGATTGCAAATCGCCCTCATTTGTAGAGTTGATGTTGAGTAGAGTTTTTCAGTTGATGCTATTGTTTTGTTATCGTTTCTTTATAGAACAGTTTGTAGAGTTTTATTTATAGTATTCAATAGAAGAATTTATTGTTAGAGATATAAGTTTTACTTGTACAAACTTGTACTTATTACTTGTATAACGAAAATAATAAATTACATTGCCCAAAGATACACGCTCAGGTGCGATACGATGCACAGTACTAAAAGTGTAAACATTGCCGTTCATCTTGAATAAAGAATTAATTATGTTATAATCATATATAATATGTTAGATTTCTCAGTTGGCGTTACTATTTTAATATATCATTTCTTTTGTAAAGTAGAACAGTGTTGTAGAGTTTTATTATAGTTATAAGTTTTACTTGTAAAATTTTATGTTACATATATAACTTGAAAAAAAATAATTTGATATTTCTAAAAATAACACAATACGTGTTGCGCGTGTACTTGGCGCCTCTTTTTACCTTTATGTTTAAAAAGGTAAGTTTTATATTTTTTATATCACATCCTTTTTGTAGTTAGATAAGTTTTATTTGTAAAAACTTATATGTTTCACACATATATATCTTGAGAAAAAAATAATTTGAGTTTGGTATGTTACATTCATATATAAAAAAAAATAATTTGAATTTAGTATACATGTATATGTAAAAATGACGCCCGTTATTCGATTGCTGGTCAACAGGAACGATCTGATCAGCTGTGCTGTTGAAAATAGCAGTCTTTAAAACTGAAGAGCGATGTCCTTGGACAACGAGTCAATAAGCCCCGGTACTGATTTTTCGACAGCACAGATGATCAGATCGTCCCAGTGTCACCATTTGCATTCACAGCGTAGTGAAACTTTGTTCATTACGGAGCGTGCATTGCAAATATTCCTGTCAAATGTAGTTTTATGAACTTCCGTCTCGATGGAATTCGCTTTTAGCAGGAGCAACGGCACGAAATTCCAGTTCGCTGACATTCGCTCCGGATCTGATTCTAATCCCACTCAAGTTAATCGAAATTTTCCGCAGTAATCTATAATGTTTCTTTCCGTGGTCTTTAACTACGTTAGTTCATTATTACTATTCACTCGCGCTTGTGTTCTCTGCTGATCTTACTCCGCTGATAATAGGAAGATAAACGGTATTAAAAGTGTTAATTGAAAATGAAAGTATTGCGAGGGAGCATTCTGAGGAAACAAAAGCTCTAAGTTAGATAAGACGGGGAACCAGCCGCGCGGAAGAGTAAAAGTAAACATAACATAAGAGGCGCTCATAACGGTGTCGGAAAAGTGAGATGCACAAATCCCCTCTCCTTTGCGGTCTAGCGTATCTTACTTTCCTGCTTTCTTACTTTCTTACTGAATCGAAATTTTCCGTGATTTGGACTTTATCTTAAAATATTTACACTTAGAAACAACGTACTCAGAAAACACAAGGACACTTTTATTCCTATTTTTTAAAGCCGAATCGATTGGGACTGAAAAAACCTCGATCGGTTTAGCCATTGCTGAGATATGAATATCTCACCTCGTTTCAACTCGCAGTTTCGCGTAATATAGGCACGGCGTGCCTCTTGATTTGACTGCGCTCGATGAAAAATTATTCATCAATCGGGCAATCATTTGTCACGATATTTTTCGTAAAGCTGGGCCGTGTATCAATATTGTAATATAAATTATTAAACAAATAGTAAATAACAGAAAACGGAACAGCAAAACATTCAAGCAATTATTATACAATGTATGTATGAAGTAGTATGAAGATTCAAACGTGCATAATAACTTTTTAATTGACTCGGCAAAAGATAATTAAGATAAAAAAAGATTATTATATTAAATGACATAAGTAATATTATATTAAATAATATAAAGATAATTATATATTAAAAAGATAATTATACACGATTGCGTATGAATTTTGCTTCTTGCTTGTGATTGAACAAAACAGCTTCTTTCCTTTCCTATTCAACAGTGTTTGTGTTCTTCTGTTCAATAGTGATTTATCGTCGAACAGACTTCGGACTCTGTCGGAGAATCTGTTCCTGAGCAACGGCCTCCTGGCTCTGTTGGATCTCTCCTCTAATCGCATCTCGTCCTTATCAGCTGGCACATTTCGCGGTCTCGGTAACCTGGAGGAATTGCTGCTGGGCAAAAATCGACTGTCCGGACTACCCGCCTCGATTTTCAAAGACACAATCAATCTCAGGCGTCTCGCGCTCGAGGAGAATCACCTGAAGGAGCTGCCACATAATTTATTCCACGATTTGACGTCGCTCAAGGAATTGGACATGAGGGGCAACCGGTTGACGGAGGTGGCTAAGGGGATGCTGTCTCACCTCGTCAAGCTGGAGATCCTGGAAATGTCGAGCAACAGAATATCCCGTGTAAGTGTCGCAAATCCATCTCTCTCCATCTCTTCAATTCATCTCAATGATCAAATGGCTCTCCCGAGTAGAGTCGAGAAAAATAGGAAGATGGCTGATCGAAGCCTCATAGACGTTCTGATCAAATTGATCCTTGTGTCATGCGCAACTGTAACATTAATTCCCAAGAAAATCTATGTCGTATAATTCCGTGAGTACTCAGAAGAAGTTCTCTCAAGTATTAACAGACCGCGCGTCTCTGCGGCAGATCGACGCGAGAGCTCTCCGCGATATGGTGGCGCTCCGAGAGTTGCGGCTGGGACACAACCACATCAAGTACTTGCAGCATGGGTTGTTCAGCAACTCCGTATCCTTGGAACGCTTGATTCTCTACGGGAACCGCATAGAGATCCTAGCGAGGGGCGTTCTTCATGGTCTGTCCAATCTCACCTCTCTCTTCTTACAGTCCAATCGACTGAGGCTGCTGCAGTCAGGGGTCTTCAACGATACGCCGAATTTGCGTAAGCTGTGAGTCTGCGCTCCAATCGTTTAATGAACGTAATCGTTGACTTAATCGCGATTAAGCATGGCCTAACGATTACTTACGCGTACCTTCTTATTCGCCACTGTCACAACAAACATCTTCGGTTTCAAACTGCGAGAAAGAACAGAAGGAGAAAGAGAGACAAAGAGAGAGAGAGAGAGAGAGAGAGAGAGAGAGAGAGAGAGAGAGAGAGAGAGGAAATTTAAATTTGATCCGGTTCTAGTTCAGTGAAAATTTACTTGCAGAAGATTACACGACAGTCTTGTGTAATTAATATACCAAGTTTTCCAAAAGTAACAGACCCCCCCTCCCTATCTCAAAATCTATGCATTATAAGGAAAAATGACCCGAACAAAAATTTTAGGGTTTATAAAGTTCTGTTTTTTTGTGATCTCAAATTTGATCTTGACCTCGACCTTGAAGGTCATTTGAAGGTCAACTTGCGTTTTTAAATGGGAACCTCTATTTTTTATTACATTGTTTTTTCTACCAATTAATTTGAACAACTTTTGTCCAAAACATTTTTTTATTTGCCTAATATTTTTTGAGATATTTGAGGAAAACTTGATAACTTTTTCAATATTTAACTTACGATATCTCGCTAATTATTTGTCGGAAGAAAAAGTGGTACTAGACTTTCTTGCTTTATTTAGTCTCAAGAATATATTGTTACAATAGTACCCTGATTTTTGTTAATTTGATGATTTTAAAATTTCCAAAAGTCAGTAAGTTAACACTGACTTTTGTTGGGATTCTTTGATGCTTTGGGATACCATTCTGTCTTCGTCTGATAATGTTTGGAGTGGGGATTATATGTATCGTTCCGCTCCCCTATTCTCCCACCATCTTTTTTCGTCCCTCATCAAAAGCTTCTTTATCCTACCACGCGTCTTTAGAAAAAAAGACAGAATGGTAGAGCAATGGTACTCGTACTATCTCTTTCTAATTTCTAATTTCTGACGCGTTCTAACAAAGGGAAACGTTGAGACGCGCGGTCTCAGATATCATATGTCTGTGATAATAACAAACAAACAAAGAACAGTCATTCGCGATCGAATGGATCGATAGACTGCCCGCGGTCGTCGCGCCATCGCACTGAAATACTAGTCAATGATGAGAGCACGTTGGCGCAGATCTCATCGGAAAAGCGCGCGAAGAAAATAATCCGCAGGCACTCATCAGCGCCTCGCAATCTTCAGGCAACTGGAGTCGAACGAGCTGTCGTTCCTACCGGCCGGCAGCATGGACGCCGTGTCGGCGATCCCGCAGGTGCACCTGAATCGGAACCCCTGGCACTGCGACTGCCGTGCTCTGTATGTCGCCTCCTGGCTGCGCCGACGGTTCGCCAGCTTCGCGAACCTGACGAATCCGCTGCAGATCCAGCAGGCGTTGGTCACGACCGGCAACTGGAGCGTCTGGGAGTACGGAGCCGGGGCGATCTGCAGAGGCCCGGGTGTCCTGGGTGGCCAGCCTCTGCTGCGGCTGACCTTCCACGAGCTCTGCGAGGGCCAGTGGGCCTCCATGAAGGGCATCGTACCGCGGCTACCTCTCGACGTCATGGCGCCGTCCGTCACGCCGCACGCCGTCAGAAAGGACACGCTCTTGGTAGGACCTCGCGCCGGTGACTGAACCTCACTTCAATCGTGTTATCTGCATTCTTTCTCACGCGCGGTAAAAAAGATTCTCCGCGATATGATAAGGCAACAATTTTCTGCCCCGCTCAGAATTAGATTTCATTTTTCATGTCTTCTGTCTTTTTACGCTTTTTTTGCTATAAAAGTGCCATTCTCGTTTCCCCGCGATCATCGTCTTCTCTTAAGAAAGATTCACAAGGGAAGAATCACACTTAGGGAAAAAGGCAGAAAGCAGAAAGGCAGAAATCGATCAAAATTCGCTCTCTCTCTCTCTCTCTCTCTCTCTCTCTCTCTCTCTCTCTCTCTCTCTCTTTCTCTCTCTCTATCTCAAGAGAGAGACAGACTACCAGCGCGAGTTCTGATTGATTTCTGCCTTTCTGCTTTTTGCTTTCTTCCCCAAGTGTGAATTCTCCCTTACTCTCGCTCGCTGTTGCAGGTGTAGAGAGGACGAGGTGTCGCGCACGGAGCGCGTCTCTTTCCGTCTCAACGTCGAGTGACTGTTGGACGTCTGCGAAGAACGTCCAGGGAGTTAAGTCTCTTCCTGTCTCTCTCTCTCTCTCTCTCTCTCTCTCTCTCTCTCTCTCCCCCCCCTCTCTCTCTCCCTCTCTCTTTCTCTCGGTGCTAATAACAATAATTAGCGCGTCCCTCGAGGCGCGCGATTGCGATTCTTTCTCTCCGTTATCGCGGAGAGAATACAATAAGATACGCGTACGGTGCGGCTTATTGCATGGCGTACGATAATCCTCGCGATTACGTCATAGTGTAGAACAATCGAAGAATGTGCAGTTAATTTGTCAAGAGTCAAATAAAAATGTAATTTTCGAAAACACCCCGACCGTCACCGACCTTCCGCTTGGCGAGCGCGCTATCGCTGTTCGTTACGACTTATTGATTACTCGATTGCTCAATTATTGGTTGCCTGACTACTTAATCATTAATTACATCGTTACTCGCACGGGGCGTTGTTAGGTAGAATCGGTAGAAACTAGCTGGACAATAATTAGACGGAATCGAGCGTAACAAGAACAATCAAGCGTCGCGCTCGTGCGCGCAAATCGCGACGTGTCATGGCGAACGGAAAGGAAAGGGAACGTCGACGACGGGTCGCGCAATCCGTTTCCGAGCGTGCGAGGAAGGCAGTGCGCTGTTTGGAAATTTATTGTCGCAATTTCTAATCTTCGCAGCCTCTTCGCGTGCGTTACAAATTACGCGCACGCAGTTCGCGTAACGCGAGCGGACATACGCGTAATCGGCGCGTGTCGACTGTACTGTGATCACTCGCCGAGGTTCACACGGTTCACGCGGTTCGCGCCTATGAACTTTTCACGAGCACGAGAAAAGAACGATAGGCTCGTGGCAGGTCGAGCTGGAAGGGGCCCGACGAGTGAGCCGGCCGATTCGGAGTCAGCCGGTCAGTCGTTCACTCGACGGACCCGCACGTTCGTCACGCCGAGGCTTTAGCGTAGCTTCCGTCATGGCTGCGTCGAGCGTGGAAGGCATCAGCCAGCTCTTGAGCAAGATCTTGAAGATCCTCGAAGAGGAGCACGTGTTCGATCGCTCCGGCGAGCAGCCGGTCGTGCGATTCGTTCATCCCGAAGATTTGCGAGTGAGTACCTCGTAATATTCCATCTCGCAGCGTAAATCAACGGATTGATTATCAGGCTGTCGTAGAGAGCCTCCGAACCATTCGAACAGTACGAAGGAACCAGTAAGCAGCTAAAACGCTGCTGTATTTGCGCGAAATCTAATAGTGTTGGTAATTCAATATATTGAAGACGTATCAGGCTTAGTCCTTAGAGAGAGGAAAAAAAATGCTTGAAACTGCAACGTTCGCCACGGGGGGCGATAGGAAGTAATAATTCGTAAATATTTTCACGGCGTGGTATCATCGGAGCGCACCAAGGCCAACGATATCTCATATCTCCTCGATATCTCACAACGCTTGTTTAATCTCCGTACCGTCGGCAACTCACAATAAAAATAGTACATTGTTAATGGCAATAAGTTGCCTCGACTTGTCATCGAATTAAGCGATGTTTATATTTGCTCTAATACAGCGATTTTCGGAATTGAAATTTTGCTGTCTTCTTTTTGCGAACATGAGGACGAGCAACACAAGGGATGTTGTGTTAAAAATTAGGCGTTAGGTATCGTGGTAAAAATTGTGTTAAAATTATATTCCTTCTCTCACAATATTTTTTCTTTTTAAATAAAGCTCGACTATAGTCCCGTAATATCGTAATACGAATTACCAATTTGAGAACAATGAATGACCAAAGGACGAAATAAAACAGAGAATTTTTCAATCGAGCAATTACGATATCGTGCAATATAGAACCAAATGTTGCTTTGATATTTTTAAACGAGCGCGCAGTAATTCCGATCATATATTTCTGTACGGCCGATCATATATTGCGAAGAGTTCGTCGCAATTTTTGCTGCAATATTTCCTCCGTGCAGATTGCAAGCTCCTACTTTCTTTCTTCGATTCTTACTTAAACCGTGCAGTGCCATCGATCAGAGAAGTTCTCTGAGAAATCCTCGTGAGTAGGGTGACCATATATACTCTTTTAAGATTATATGTACTCTTTTTAAGGTGGTAAAAAGAGTACTCTCTACTTTTTACGTATCGTACTCTTGTACGTACTCTTTTTTCGTAATGTTAATTATACTTTGTCGATAATGACCAAAGAGCAGACTTCGGTGACGTTTTCATCACTCACGGCATTTGTGCGCCGCGCGAGCGCCAATACCGATTATGCGTAGAGGTTCTGCGCAACGGTGCACCGCTAGTTACTACATAGGCAGTCTGAAAAGTTCTCCGCCTGACACATACATGGCATTAGAAACTGTCAAACTATAATTATATTGGAAAGTGGCATCTCTGATATAAACTGATATAAACCCATGTAAAATTTTATTCCATCTGTCAAGTCATTCGAGTAGTAGCACCAGTAGAGAAAGCTTTGTGCAAGATGGGTGCCGCATTTGCCAACAATTGACCAAAAACGCATTCGAATGCATATTTCTCAAACGTGTTTGGATCGTTTTAAGCAAAATAAAATGGATTTCAAGCGTCGTTTCATAACTATTGATGAAACTTGGATCCACCACTATACACCAGAGCGAGAAAAACCTTCCGGCATCACACTTTAATGATATTGAATTATTGGAGAAACGTTGGAATAAATGTATTGAAGTTTCAGGAGATTATATTGAAAAATAAAACATATTTCGCGGCAAAAAAATTTTCTTTCATCGTTAGGCCGAGAACTTTTCAGACTGCCCTCGTATAAATCGTGCAGCACAATCGACACTGGCGTGTAGCGCTCTGGCGTTGTGAGTGCGGAAAACGGCGCTGATGTCCGCTCTTTAGTAACGACACAGTGAAAACCGAAATTGTCAGGCGATGTACGGAGTGCAAAATATAATTATAAAGTATCTTAATAATATAATAAAATATATGTGTTCAACTAATATTTCTCGGTTTATGTAGTACCCACTATGTTTTATTTTAAATATTATACCTAGTAATCCATTAATCACTGTCCCAGATAAAACATAAGATCATTTTGACGTCAAAATGATATAATTTTTATATTATTGACGTCACCTTGACTTTTATATGATTTTGTGTTCTACTTACTGTACTCTTTTGGGACCGTAATTAGTAGTACTCTCTTTTTTCACCCGTCTTTTACTCTTTTTTATGACTGGGATATGGTCAGCCTACTCGTGAGAGCATCGCGCCTCCCTCACATTTTCCCTGCAACGCGTAGTCGTCTAAGTAGAAACTATTCGCTTAATTACAATACTTAATCATAGTTTATTAATCTAATTATGAGCGGGTAACGATAAACTTGCAGCAATCTAAAAACGATGATCTTCCAGAGCTCTACCTTATACACGAGCTAACCGCGACTTAAACACGTCATCGCGCTTTGATACCGCCGCTGATTCGGTGCAAATACGCCAGTATATTATCGTCACACTGTTACTTTCCGACGGTTTGTCTCTTTTCTTTCTTTGCACGCAATACATGGGTGAATACTCGATTGATCCCTCGCGCGTCCATCCGCCGTCCGCTGGAAGAATTGTTGATCTCTGCGCGGGACTTTGGCACCGCATGATAATGCGTCGTTCTTTCGGCAAGTTCTTCGGCCGATTAGGCCTATACGTCGTAGGCCGCGTTCGATTGATCGTGCGAACATGAAGCCCCCTTCAGAGGGGGTGACCCAGAGATCTAGATATTTTTTGCGTGCCCCCTGTTTGCGACTAATTACGTTTTCCAGTTCAGTGATTGTAACAGTGATCGTAAATAGTTGGTGTAGAAATGTCTCGGGGTAGAATGAGATAATCGTCCGATGAAATATGAACGATAACGGAAATTCCTGCAGTTGAAGTTGTCAGAACTATCTGGCCCAACCTATCAAGATTTCTGGTATCAAGCGGGATTTTTCCATTTCCAACCGGAATTTCTGAATCGCTTACATTTCACCGGAAAATTCCTTCATTTAAACATTTCACTCGATTCATTCGTTTAAACGTTTAAATTTTTTTCTGTATATCTAAAATGTCATTTTACCTGAAGACACAATTTCCGTGACTTCACAGTACCATGTGAAATTTAGCTCGTTGACCTAAGGCGACTTGGAGTCAATAAAAATGTTTGTTTTTTTTTTTCACACAATCGCCCCTGCATGTTTTAATCTCACCGAGTCCAATAAACGCCGCGTTCTCCTCTCATTTCTGTGTCGTCGTAATTCTCCCGCAGAAGACGATGCCGCTCTCCCTGAACGAGGAGCCAGCTTGCGATGAAGAAATCGAAACGGCGATACGGCAGATCGTGCGCTACTCCGTGAAAACGTCCAGCCCGCATTTCCACAATCAGCTTTACGCCGGGGTCGACGAGTACGGACTGGCCGGCTCCTGGTTGACGGATGCCCTCAACACCAGCCAGTAAGAGCAGCCTCCGAGTCCTCGAGACTTCGCACCTCAAGGATATTTGACGGTCTTCCGCGACGCCACTCCGGCGGGCGTAACTGTAATTCTCGCGAAGACGAAGCATGATGAATAATCCGAGATACTCTCTTATCGCGAATAGCAGACGAACAGCAGATACCGTTAACCCACTTGAACGCCCCAGACGATGCGTCGTCATCTACCGCATTAACTTCGAGTCACGGATCAATGCCGCCTGGGCGATTTCATTTCGCCGAGAGAACGACATTTTTTTCTTGCGATAATCAACGAACGCATAACAGCCAGTCGACGCGCTAATCGACCTGTGGATGCTCCTTAGATATACCTACGAGGTAGCCCCGGTGTTCACGCTGATTGAACGCGAACTGATCGAAAAGACGTTGGCGTTGGTGGGCTACCCGCGGATTCCGCAGGCCGACGGTGTGATGAGTCCAGGAGGCAGCATATCCAACATGTACGGCATGGTGTTGGCCAGGTACAAGTTGCTGCCGGAAGTGAAGAGGAAAGGACTCAGTGGGTACCCGCCGTTGGCGTGTTTCACCAGCGAGAGCAGTCATTACTCGATCATGAAAGGTGCCCATTGGTTGGGCATCGGCACCGATTATGTCCACAAGGTAGGATTTTCAGTCAATCGTTCGAGGAAATCGCGCAGTCGATGGATGAAATTGACGATGCGGATTTGCACGCTAGTAATATTTATATATAAAAAAATTATATATGATTATGTAAAATCATACATCATCACTCATAAAATTATACGTTATTACATATCGATCGTTACATTATGATCCATGTACGAAATTTGCCCGTGCATGGTCATATATACAATTATATGGAATCTCATTCTGCTCATTCTGCAGAAGAAACTTTGTTAAATGAAAAAATTATTTCTTTTAATAACAGTATATTCTTGAGATAGAATAGAATAAAAAAGAATAAAAATTAAAATAGAACAAAATAAAATAAAAGAATAAAATAGAATAAAATTATAGTATCATTTTTTTCTTCGATAAATAGTTACCGAGATATCGTAAACTAAATATTGAAACCAAGTTTTTCTCAAAAAAATATTAGGCAAATAAAAGAATATTTCAGATAAGAAGTATTCAAATCGATTGGTAGAAAAAGGTGATAAAATCGAAAATGGAGGTCTCCATTTACGATTTTAAAGTTGATCTTGACTTGATCTTTAAATTTGATCCCTAGGTCAAGTTCAAATTCACCACTAGATTTCCCATTTTCAAATCCTAAAACTTTTGTATTTAACATTTTTCTCAAAGACGTCGTTCCTTCAAATTCATCCGGGGTATTTATAAAATTATATATACCTACAAATAGTCAAGAAAAGGCAACATTTATATATACAATTGCTTCGTACCGGGTAGTTATTCTAGAAAATATATTTGTTAGTGGGGGGGTTGTTATACGACCGGAAGAACAAACGATAAGGCCGTTCTGCTATTGCAACAGATTAAGACGGATGCGTTTGGTCGCATGGAGCCGAGCGACCTGAAAAGGGCGATAGCGGAGGCGAAGGGCCAAGGGCGTGTACCGTTCTATGTAAACGCCACTTGCGGCACTACGGTACTCGGTGCCTTCGATCCGCTGTTGGACATCGCCGCGATCTGCCAAGACGAGGGTCTCTGGTTGCACGTTGACGTTCGTATAAAAGATAAAAAAAGCTAGCGGAATCGCTGAGTACACTGGACGCTCTGACCGGAAAACTGTTTCAGGCCTGTTACGGCGGTACCTTGCTGCTCTCGGACAAATATCGGCACCAACTGCGAGGCATCGAATTGTTCGTATTCATCGTCGTATCAGTGCCGTCGAGAGACGAAAGTCAGCAAGTCACGAGTTCCACAGTAATTCGAAAAATCGTCGTAGCGCAATAACAACCGACCCCGCGAATCGGTCACGTCGCATCAAGCTAGAACATGCAATGGTAGAATTTACCGTGGAAACTAAGGTGAACGTGAAGCACGTTGGACGAAGTGGCTCCTGCGAGCTCGACGAACGACTTTCCTCTCTGCGACGTAAAGAGCACTAAAAATCCGAAAGCGGAAACTCGAAATCGGCGTCGGTTCCCCTCCCCTATCATCGGTTCTCTCGTCTGTTTTCGCGATCTAATGCGATCGGTTCAGATCGAACTCGGTGTCCTGGAATCCGCACAAGATGCTTGGAGTGCCGCTCCAGTGCTCCTTCTTCCTGGTCAAAGGCGAAAACGCGCTGCACAAGGCCAACTACGCCGGGGCCCAGTACCTCTTCCAGCAGGACAAATTTTATAACGTCACTTGGGACACGGGAGATAAGAGCGTGCAGTGTGGCAGAAAGGTAATCGCATTCTTACCTAAATACGAGATGCTTCAAGATAGTCGCGGAGCGGTCAGGGCTTCAAGATAGTCCTCTGCGTGAAAAGGAATGTCGAGAGACACGGAGAGATTCGGAATAGTTTTACGATAAAATGCAGAGATAAAGGACCAGTTGACTAAGTGTTGGCATATCGAGTCTGTTAATCAAAGAGCCTTGCAATCTTTCATTAGGTGTTTCATCATATCTTATAACACCTAGGTTTACGATATTTTTAGATACAGTTTTCAGTTTTACAATATTTTAGACGATATTGTCTAAAAAAAAGATTATATTGCTGTCTCGTTCTAATGTTTGTAATGACGGTACATCTCAAGGTCGATGCCATGAAATTTTGGCTAATGTGGAAAGCTCGCGGCACGACGGCTCTTGCACGCTCGGTGGACCAGGCGATGTTCTGTAAGGATTACTTTTTGAAACGCATCACGAACAGAGCTGGCTTCCGCTTGGTGTTGTCCGATTACGAGTGCACCAGTATATGCTTCTGGTGAGTTACGGCGCTTTGTCGCGTCATTGCGTCCTTGCTAGGACCAAGTGTTGTCAAGATGGCGCGTCGTTGCAGGTACATACCTCCGGGTATGCGTGAGCAGCGGGAAACGCAAGAGTGGTGGAATAAACTGTATAAGATCACATCTAAGATAAAGGAACGTATGATCTTGGAAGGAACCCTTATGATCGGTTACACGCCATTGCAGGCGAAGAACATTGGCAATTTCTTTCGTATGGTGATCAACTGCCAACCGCCGCCTACGGAATCGTCCATGGATTATGTCATCAGCCAGATCGAAAAATTTGCGCTAAATCTGCGTATGAGTAATCTATAAACCTAACAAGATCTAAATAATTTTTGTAATCTGTATTTATGTTTTTCAAGTAGAATGTAAGAATCGATAGAAATGTTTGGTTAAGCATATGCAGTACCTGTTGAAAAATAATCTATTGATTTTTCATTGGAGCTATTTAACGTGTAAGAAATTATTATTATTAACGATATTACATGATGTTTACCTACCATTGTTCCTGTGTTATGTCACACCTTGGCCAAGATGTCTGTGAAATCGGGCCATTCGGGCAATCCGGCCGTCAAAAATTTATAATATATTAATAAAGCGTGCGTCATACGAAACATCGCAGCGAATCCCGCGAAATACCATGTTACAAGAAAAGATATTTTGCCTCGTTGCTGTCATATATCACCATCAAATTGTTAAAACATATTCCTCAATCTATTCCCGAGGTCTCTATACAGCCAGATTTCGCAATCAGGCCGTCTAACTTTTATCATAAATAAATAAAGATGCATAAACGTCAAGGCGGATCACGCAAATACAATTTCACAAGAAGAGATATTCCACCTCATTGGCGACATATGTAACCACTAAATTGATATTCCTTGAACTATTATCGAGGTCGCTACAGAGCCAGATTTTGCAATCCGGCCGGCAAAAATTTATAATATATTAATAAAGCGTGCGTCGTACGAAACATCGCAGCGAGTCTCACGAAATACCATGGTATAAGAAAAGATATTTTGCCTCGTTGCTGTCATATATCACCACCAAATTGTTATATACCATATTTCTCGATCTATTCTCGAGATCTACAAAGCCAGATTTCGCAATCAGGCCGTTTAACATTTATCGTATATAAAAGACTGCATTGCAACATGTCACGTACAATACAATTTTGGAACATGAGAAATATTGCTTCGTTAACGTAATACATCATCATCAAATTGTTCGGCCGTATTCCTTGTATTATTTCTAACGTCACTATAAATTTTGATTTGACAAAAACAGGATTTTGATTATTAACATATATATATATATATATACAAGGTGTTATAAAAGTCCTGGAAGAGCAGAATAACTCGAAAAATATGAGTCCTAGAAAAAATACGAAGTACTAGGTTTTTATGATTTTTTCCTGGCTATCTGACGGTAACCTTGGATCTGACCATGACAATGACCTTGAAGGTCATTTCAAGATCAAGTTAATTTTTTTAAACGGGACCCCATACTTTTGACCCCAGAAATGAAAATAGCGGAAAATTATACGTTCGGATATGACCTTAAACATTGCCAAATTTGACCTCTGAAGGTCACATAAAGGTCTAAGCTTGTTTTAGGCTGAAAACGCGAATATCTTCGAAAATGCACCTGCTAGGGAGCAATGTTACGCATAAGAATAAGAATGTAGAGGTCAACGAGGGACATTCAGCCGTGATCTTATTCTCAAGGTCATGAGTTAAGATTATTATTAAGGTCAAACCGGACTTTTTTAGGACTGAAAATCCATACTTTTGACCTAAAAGTGTCAAGATTGAAAAATTTTACGTTCGGATATGACGTTTTCAACCTTGACCTTGTTCTCAAAATTATGCGTTTTACGTTACTTCACTGATCGTGAAGTCTACTGAAAGTAAAGCGTCTCAGAACCCGACCACTGAAGGCAAGGTGTCTCAAACCCGACCACTGAAGGCAAGGTGTCTCAAATCCGATTACTGAAGGCAAGGTGTCTTAAACCCGGCCACTTAAGGCAAGATGTCTCAAACCACTTGATTTCTTTCTTTGGGGTTATATAAAAAATAAAGTTTATTTCACTAAACCTCGTAACTTGGATGAGTTTCAACAACAGATCATAGGCGAATGTGCTGCAATACCTTCAGTAATGATAAGGAGTGCGACTGACAATTTGTACGTCCGCTTAGCACACTGTCAAACGGTCAATGGGGAACATTTTGAACATCTCTTGTAATCTCAGGCCGAGTTACAAGATGTTTGCCTTCGGTGGCCGGGACTAACTGAACCTTGGACCCTTCAGTGATCGGGTTTGAGACACCTGGCTTCAGTGGTCGCGTTTGAGACATCTTGCCTTCAGTGGTCGGGTTTGAGACACCTTGCCTTCAGTGGCCGGGTTTGAGACACCTTGCCTTCAGTGGTCGGGTTCCGAGACGCTTTACTTTCAATAGACTTCGCGATCAGTGAAGTAACGTAAAACGCATAATTTTGAGAACAAGGTCAAGGTTGAAAACGTCATATCCGAACGTAAAATTTTTCGATCTTGAACTTTTAGGTCAAAAGTATGGATTTTCAGTCCTAAAAAAGTCCGGTTTGATCTTAATAATAATCTTAACTCATGACCTTGAGAATAAGGGCAAGGTCACGGGTGAATGTCTCTCGTTGACCTCTACATTCTTATTCTTATGCGTAAAATTGCTCCCTAGCAAGTGCATTTTCGAAGATATTCGCGTTTTCACCCTAAAACAAGCTTAGACCTTTATGGACCCTCAGAGGTCAAATTTGGCAGTGTCAAGGTCATATCTGAACGTAAAATTTTCCGCTCTTTTCATTTCTGGGTCAAAAGTATGGAGTCCCATTTAAAACAATTGACCTTGAAATGACCTTCAAAGGTCATTGTCAAGATCAAATCCAAGATCACCGTCAGATATCCAGGAAAAAATCATAAAACCCGTACTTCGCATTTTTTCTAGGACTCATATTTTTCGAGTTATTCTGCTCTTCCGGGACTTTTATAACACCTGTAATATATATATATATATAATATATCCTGAACACGTACACACACATACACACACACACAACAAAAAAGGTTTGAAATCGTAAAATATTAGGTCGGAAAGTTCCGTCCGTTTTCTTGCAAAACGTATGGCTTTATTTAAGAAACCAAAATGAAAAAGTACATCAATCAAAAGTATTGTTCATCGTTAGCGATGACTTTTTCCCATCTTTCGGTCAGCAAGCGAATTCCACGGCGAAAGAATGACTCATCTTTGGAGGCTATTCAGTCAGAGACCCATTTTCGACGTTTTTCATAAGAATTGAAGCATTCCTCAGCAAGTGCGTGTATGTGCCATCGACCGAAACAAGTGCTGGTCAGAAGGGCACAGTTTGGTGAATAAGCGCATGGGGTAACACTTCCCGCGAAATGCTTCTACCGTTGTTCTACTGGACAGATTTTGTAGCATACGCGAGCCGAGCGTTGTCATGAAGCAAAATCACTTTATGCTGTCTCGTTTTCATGTCTCGTCGTTTTTCGTGCAATGCTCCACT